CAAAGTACTCCATTGCTTACGAGTTCAGAAATTTCCCCACCAGACATGTTAAAGCACATGTTGGTACATGTACTAATTTTTCTGTGTTTCGACAGGCTGAGGTGCGAAATTTTGTGTCTGTGAAAAGAACTGATGACGGGGATACCGCGCACGCGCGCAATGCAACGTTTTTTTGGACTTGATAGAAATAAGACATCAGCGACGCAAAAGAATAACAAAAACATAACTTACCTCCTGCTTGTTCGTTGTCTTGGTCGGTTGAGATAATGTGGGCTACTTGAGACAAGTGCTGAGACAATTTGTCTCACCATAGCAACTAAAATGCTACGTTCACGCTCTTCAATGTCCTTGAACACACTGGATCACTGGAAAAGCCTACAAAAGGAGGACACGGAACTGAACTGAGCTCTCCTGTGGTAAAACATCTTTAATTTTCCACCAAACAGGATCCTGAAATGGTTCAAAGTGGTCAACAGTAAAGATGTAAATAAGATAGCACCTTTGTATGGCTCGGTGTAAATCGACTGAAGTAAAGTGCACAGGTTAAGCCTAGTGAAGTTTCTTTCTTTGTCAAACTCGTGAAACTATGAAACTGCACAATTCGTTAACAACCAGTACCTTCTGAAAATAATTTTCATCAAGTTTCAAGATCGAAAGAAACAGAAAGAAGTAAAGATTCCAGATAGTTATGTGATAACGTAAGAGTTGAATTCGATGCCTGGTAAAATGTTAAACCGTCCACCATCTAAAGCAAAATATCAGTTGTGTTACATAATTGAAAATAGCTCCGCAACGCATCGTAACATTAAAATAAAATCTTCAGTTTTGAAAAGATGCATCTTAGCTTTAATTTGATACCAAAACTAACAATTTCTGACAATTCCTTTGTCGAGAAAAGAAAGATTATTTTGCGCCAAGTATCAACCGACCGTAAAACAGGATTACCGCGAAATACGAAGTTCCTGCGCCTTGAAATCGTTATTGGTGCTTGTGATAGAACCTAAGGAACTCTCGTGGCGCCGGACCAGGCGCCTTTGGAACGTAAAATGCAATTGTGCGTCGTTCGTGTGTGGTTTCCTTGTAGCAAACAGCGTCTTCCCATCATGTAATATTTATTCATGAGTACTCCAAAAAGCAGAACAATTTTATAAACGCCATAATACGCCATTTGATGTGAGTTTTTGCGGGAGTGCAAAACATACTACAGATGTATAACTGTATCTTGAACATCGCCCCCTATAGTGTCATAATGGTGTCAGCCCCCCCCCCTTCTCAACTGACCATGGCCGGTAAAATCATCCACATAAAGACCCCTATCCCCCAGTTCCAGGCACAAATTTACGCTGAGCCTTCAAATTTATTCTGATCACGATGGAGTGTCTTGTCTCTTTACATTTCTACGTCTAAGTATGTATAAATTGCAACTTTCAATTCATGAGGCGGAGTTGTCACTTTGAAATTTCCTTGCCAAAAGCTTTTTTTTTCATTCATTTCGGACGGCATTTAGAACGACACGGGCGGCATTACGAACACCAATAAGTTCATCACCTTCATCAAGGCTCGTCTGGAATGCTCGGTATCCGAAAGCGATATCCCATTTTACTATGACAATATTCGTAAGTATTCACCTTGACCCTTTGGCTTATGATATACGGCTCACACTGAATTCATCCCTGACTGCAAGAACCGTAGTAAGCGATATCTGGATTCTTTAAAATTTAAACATGAAAATGGCGGTTTGACCCTTACTCCCGTAAGAGCACATAATCTTGCACTGTAGCCAGAGCCTCTAAAAGCTTGGTACATTAATTGAACTACGTTTTTCAGTTTTTATCTGTTAATTTGTACTGATGAAATATCCACATGCCTATACGTACCAGGCATGCATTGGATAAAAAAAGATGCCTTTCGATTGTCTCGGAGAAAAATCGCAGATTTCGTTGTATCAATTGAAATTGTTTATTTGCGTCTTTTATACTTACTTCACAGAGGATGTCTTTTGGGATGCCAACAGTACGATCGCATACGCAATATTCACATCACAAGAGTAAGTCGGAACCACACTTTTCTCCATGCTGCAAGCTCCTAGTGGTCTTTTGATTATAGAAGCATCGGACCTATCAAATAATTGACATATTCTTGCTTGGAGTAGAGATAGGACTGCTACACAGCACGGATATCCCTGCATCTGATTGGACTGGGTTCAGGATCCAGATTTTATGTGGGGGGGGACGGCTGATCTTGGCACGGGTTTCTTGTTCTCGCGCTCGAACGGCGGGAACACGACTCAAGAACACTGTTCTTGAAACAGGATCACACACCACCTCCTGGTCAGGGTTTGACAGGGACACAAGGAAAAACTCGTGAGATTTTGATTTTTGAACAGCTGCAAAAAGTAGACAGATGGCTTCCAAAGCCATAGACCATGTAGACAATGGGAAGATTTGCAAAATTAACATTAATTATTTTCCGAAACACATAAATGAATGTTCCTGTTTATATAGAAAAGAATTCAGCCCATCCAAACCTTACTTCTCGAATAACGTACGTGGACCCCGCCATGTTGCATGTTGCTTGTAATAACCGGTTGTTTGTTACCGGCGTTCGAGCGGCCGACCCATGAACAACAAATCAAGCTGTTCGTGAACATACGCGAACAAGCCGCCCGAACTCAGCCACGAAGTTCACATAAATAATTATATAAGAGACCAAGTTCTGTTAATTAAACTTGCAACATCGAAGTCTTTTCGACCTGCAGCCTTAAGGTTGCATCCGTGACGATTACGGACGATGTAGCGTGGACATGTATAGTACATTCAGTACATGTACAGTACAGACTGGTTTTGGTTCCTACATTTCCATCACGCATTCTTTTGCATGGGCGCGGCGCGGCGGGAACCAGAGCAGCTTCGTTTAAGGCATTGAGCTTTGCGCATGTGTTTTCACGCCACTGCTATAGCTAGCGAAACGTGAATGGAAACTCATGAAAATAACGTTTTTTTTCTTAAAACAAGCATTTTACGTGAGACAAGGTTATTGAAAGATATTTGTAAAGACAGAAAAGACATCAGGTTTCAACTGGCCCACTGGACCACCAGTTTCATTAGATCAGCTGGTCCGCCGACTTTTTTACTGGCCTCGGGCCAGCTGACCACCGTTAATTTCGACCCCTGAGTTCAGGAAGTGCTTTATTTCGCACACAGAAAGGAGCCCTGGTATTTGTCATTCGATTTTTGTACGAGAATGTGGGGCAAAGGTTTGTACGAAATAAACCCTATTTAGACCAGAGAGTAATTTTTGTACGAGGGGTTTCTCTGAAGTGGGCCGTTCAAGCATTTCCTGCGTGCATAATTATGAATGTATGTCTATTTAAAGGGTCCCTTGAGCGTGTCAGGTGTTGACTGTTACATTTGTATATAAATTAACATCCAAGAGTTGAAACCTGCCCTTCAAAACTAATTTACATCGTTTTTTCGAAAACGAAAACAAGATTTAGATTATTTTCGTCCGACAGAGATCGTCGTGATGGGGTTGATCACAACAGATTTGGTCAAAATGACTTAATCAAATTGTCAGCATAAGATAACTTCATCAATTCAACAAATAGCCAAGAGGGTTATTTTGGGGGCAATCTTTTGTCCCTTCTTAGGAATAGTAACGATAGTTGTGTAGTGTGGATGGGTGTATGAATAATCCTTAAAAGGAATAATGCAATGACCTTTATCTCAGAATCATTGCTCGTATATGTTTAAACTCTTCTTTAATGTATGAAAACTGTTTGAAATCTTTATAGAGTATGAAGAACTATGGAGTGCACTTATTTAAACTTCAAACTTTACCAAACTTTTCCAAATAAGTGAGTTCGCTAGTGTGACGTAAATTCTGAATATGCAAAATCATATAAGTGCAAAAACCAAAAAGGCCCCAAAATACAGATAAAATTGCAACAAAAGCATTTACAATGATGCAATTGAAACAAAAAGTGCAATTCCAAGGATTTTAGTGAAATACTTCGGTTACATGAGCCCTATAAGTGTGAATTTTCGTCACATGAGATTTTTTTTTAACTGTGTTGTCATAATAGTGTTTACCGGTCTTTCTTCTTTCAGAGCTGGTCCTCCAACATCAGCTCTTTGCAGCTACAGAATGCAGGACATCATGAATCTCTTTGATCACGGCTATTTCAGTAAGCAGCCTGGGGGGGATGTCAACCGGCAATGGCAGGAAATCACTGAAGCAAGTGGAAAGGATTTTCCACTACCAAGACCTGGATTGGTAAGCACATTTGATCGATAAATTGTGAGACAATGACAAATTAATTACCGTTGCAGTGCATACGCACGTGCGCCCTCGGGTTAGCATAATATCGTGGGGTGTTTGAATATACACGCACTAAACTAAACAGCTCAGCAGTTGTGAATTGAAGATCAGTGGTTTGAACCTTCCGAGACTATCATTGTTGCTCATTTTTTCAAAGTGTCAGCAATAAACTGGGATAAACCTATCTGATACAATATAAGTGCCGCATACAGAGGGCACAGGGCAATATTGTGTACACTCTAAAAACTCCCGGGTCAGATTGACCCAGAATTCAGTCCCATTCGGCATGACCCTTTTCCCGGTCAAATTATGACCCAGAGAGGGTCAAATATGACCCGAAAGGGGGCCATATTTTGACCCAGAAAAGGGTCACACCGAATGGGACCCAATATTGGGTCAATCCGATCCGGGATTTTTGAGAATGTACATATCATCATTTTTTTACTTATGAAATATATATTTAGGAAGAGACTATTGAACCCATAAAGCGTGGTAGGTTGCACAAGCTCTTTTACACTTTTCACATCCTAGGACATAAATTGGCCACACCGTCACCGGTGATCTCATTTTCGAGTTTTATGAAATATTTTAGGTATTTGAAGATGTTCATTATGACCGCAACTGTTTCAATTCAATCCAATTATATGGTTCTGTTATCAAGGTCATTTATATGGCATTTAATAGCCTTTATTGTGCAGCTTACGTGCGTCATACGTTACCCGTCAGTAAGTCCGACATGACGGATAATCCAATCGGACCCCCGTTGGTATTGTAGGTATTAAAAATTAATATGAACGACATGATGTTAAATAATGTATACGGAAATTTCTATCAATCACAGTAGTCAGACTTGTAGACTCGATCATTGTAATGCAGGTATGAACGACGTAAACACAAGTCCAGCAAAGTGACTGTCTGCTACTGCTTTTGGTAGACGAGACCATTCACTGTGTACAAACGGTTGGCAAATTCGTCAAGTCGGGACATCTAAACTGAATCCTTAGTAATAAGTGGACACAAGAGGGCGCAAGGCAAGTAACGGCACGAGGTCTCGATAGCCATCCAAAGCATGAGCAAAGACGTCACAGAGATCCTGACTTGAGTCAGGTCTAGTGTGTCGACGGCCCGCGTGCATCTAGACTTGAAACAAGTCGGAATCCTCCGTGGCGTCCGCGTTTAAGCTTTGGATATGGAGGTTGCGCGGCGTTATTTGCTTCGCGCCCTCTTGCGTCCACTTACTATGGGTTGAGAATCCCAACCTGACGATAAGTTCATGTACCAAAAAAGATAGCAGCCAATCAAATTGCCCGACTTGCTTTTACATCGAGCATACCTCCAGTAGTAATGAACGATTCTACGAGTCTGACTACTTCGATTGATGGAAATTCCGTATACTTTGTGCAAGATCATATTGTTCCGTATGCAATTATGAATGACTAAATATGACCGACGGGGGTCAAGTCGGACTTTCTGACTGGTGACGTGTGACACACGCTGTATAATTGACGTTGACACCGGATATCGCGGAAAGGCTATCAAATTAGGGCGCCTTATAATAAGAAGTTATACGAGCGGCCGACGACGACGGCCGTGTACTGTGTACAGTGAAGATGGCTGACTGGGGAAGACTGAGCAACGTAAGTCCGGCTTGATTCAAGTCTAGCGTGCACGGAGTACCGTCAATGGGAACGATTAATTGGGAACCCTCTCTCTGGAAATTTACCTCATTGGTAACTTCCCAAAGGCACGTCACAAAGAAAGAGCGTTGCAACAATATCGGACAATATGTCGAGGGGTGGATCTACCCCAACCTCTTTAAGGTTAACCCATTATTTACGTACTTTATTTATAATCGCTCTGCTATTGCACAGATGAGAAAGCCCTCTTCGTTTCTAGTATTTGCCATCGGAATGTTTTCATCCTTGCATAATGGTGTCATCGATTGTGAAAGTTAACAAGCCAAGAAGGATTATCAGCATCCCTGTGATCAGATATCTCTTACAATAATTTTCTCCTCTCTCCTTTGCTTACTTGAAGTGTAATGGAACGCGTACAACGGACTATCCTCCGCTGCTGTTCAGGCCGGTTCCCAACAATAATACTGATGCAGGTGCTACAGGAAGTGACGCAAATAAAACACCACTTGATCTACCCAATTCACAGCCACCATTATACTATGTGGATGGTGTTCGCTTCACAAGCCTGACAGTGGATTTGGACTTCAACTGTTCAGTCTTCTTTGTTGGAACAAGTATGTTCATGTATTTAATAGTAATTCAGGTTTTTCATATAAATTTGGGCAACTAAGCAGCCAATGGAAACAGTACATAATCCAAGTCGTCGTTCAGTTACATACGTGCTGACTGTTGCATTATAGGATTTAACCAAATGAACCATTCCATTTGAAATTCCTCCCGAACAGCGTTCACATTCGCTGTTGTTTTTTGCGGGTTGCATTTGGTCATTCCAGTTCGTTATTGGAAATTAATTTTGTTAGCATTATTGGTACTCTCTCGTTGTTTGGAATAATCGTAATTTCTCATAGAAAGAAAGCGTATAACAACGTCATCTCTGCGGAATAATCGGGTATAGCGAACATTCCCCTTAGCTCCCCAATAGGTCGTACACTTTCATACTGAAAATTGAAATTTGCTTTCAATAGAAGAAAGGTATTTTGGGACTGATAAAGTCGACCAAAGAGTATAGTCAAATTGTATGGCAAAGGAACAGCGGCCAAACACCGTGTGGCCAGGATCGTGTGGGTACTACGGGCCAAGTTTACAGATGGAGAACTTGTTTTGTAATTTTTAAAATCAATCCCCCCCCCGAACCAGAATTCATAAATTCTTCATAAAATGGCAATCACGGAAAGGGACGGGGTCACAGCTTTTTGCGTTGTAAATTTTATCCACAAAAAAAGTACTTCGCGCGCACGAATTACTATTTCGTTTGCAAGAGTTAATACCTGGCTGTCATCGCACCCCAGCAAATTTGAAATTTTGAAATGATGGGCCGTCTATATACAAGGTGCAGTTCATCGTGCCCACCCTGTTATCCCCCCCCCCCAGTTTTGCCCCAGGTACCCGACTGCAGCAGGGCCCGATAAATGTTGCTACCCTTTGTTGTTTAATTCACAGGCACTGGAAACATAATCAAAATTTCTAAACCTGGCTGCAATACCACTGTCCTAGCCGTTGAAACTGAACTTGTAAGTTTTCTTGTTTTAGCAGAGTTAAACCCAAAAGTCTTGCCCAAAGGCTGGTTTTACTGTTTTAGCCGGTGCACCGTGCACCGAATAGTTTACAGACCGGATCATGTAACTTTTCAAATAATTTCCTGACGTGAATGAATACCATAAGCATGGTTGTCAGAATGAAAATATGCAATGACAAGGTGATGTAGCCTTCGACTTGAGTATTTTTATCATAAGGCGTTTCATTATACAGAGGCGGAACAGAGCATTTCCCTGATCACCACATACACTTATGAGTTTCGAGGATTTATACCCAAAACAACTGCCAACCTCTCTCAGTCCAAAATGCTAAACGTCACTTTTGGGAGGAAATCTTCTTCCCCTCTGCATGTGCGTGAATTCACCATTGCATAATGAGAGGCACCGAACAACCATCCACACATGAACTCTTCACAGAGTATAATAGAAGTTAGTGTCCCGATGTCATTTCTCTTCAAGGCCTCAGACGATCCCGTGACTGGGTTGGAACTCTTGAAAAACAATTCTGCAACCTTCCTGGTAGCCACGAAGGACCGTCAGCCTTCAATCACGTGGCCCCTGAGCACCACATGCCTATCAGCGGTAACCGAGCAAGAATGTAATCGTAGGGCTCCTTATTGCACGTTCACAGGCTCCAATTGCACATGGTAAGTTCTCCTGAAGATGTTTTTCAGGACTTTGGCCATTTTCATTAGCCATTCGAGCTGAGAATTTAGTATGGTGTGGCAAATTTAATGTAATATTGAATTGCATGATTATATAAAAGGGGCTGAATGCGACATATGCCCGAGCCGCAGCCGAGTATTACTCGGACACCCTCAATTATTCCCACAAAACAAGGAATTTTTTCCGAAGTCTTCTCGCAACCATTTTTGTTGTAAAGAGAGCTCGTCTGACTGTACGGTTCTGCGAGCGCTATGCTTCGAGTTTGGTCCCGTTCAAAGGCGGCGCGGGGATTATGTGCTCTCTTATTGGTCACATCTGTCAGTACACGGACCATCGGCGCCGTTTTCTCATTGGCTCCTTCCGGTTTGTGCACGAGGCATCAGTAGCGATGGTTCGCTACTAGGGTAAATTCTCCTGAGGCAGTCCTAAACGTTAGTTTCAGACTGACCAAGCACACGTTGGTCAGTCATTTGTCAGTGCTAAAGTGAACACTCTGACTTTTATTCATTTTATTCATTTTACTCATCTCTTTCCTAGTTCAACAAACTGTGTAGATGATGACCCTCCAACAGGTATGTGCAGTCTCCATATTATGATCATTTTACCAAAACCCCTCAGGTCCCGAAGTTTGGTACCCTTAGAAAATACGTAGGGGCCAATCTGAACATATTTGACCAGTAATGTAAAGCTATTTTCTGTAGGTGCTTCATTTTTGATGAGCACGTTGGCAGCCTGCGATTGAAACGTAGCCCGTAAAGTGCTCATGCGTGTGTCAATTATAGTGCCTCCGTACCAGACGATTGACATTTTGACATTGTTCCATCTCACCTGGATGATGGTACAACATTTTTTTATTACAGGATTGGAACAAAACAAAAATTGACTTGACTGCAGACCAGATTTTAAATCAGGGCAATGTGCCAAATCTTCAATCGAGCACAAATAATGGTAACGTTTTTAAGCCACTGGCGGCAGAGGAAGGGACAGTGCTCCCCCAAGCTTTTTAAACGTGGGACCCCCCCTCCATTTTTGCAGGTCCTGTAATGGGTTTTGACTTAATGGCTGATGCTTGATGGTCTAACTACTGCCCCCCCCCCTCTTTGAAAATTGTTCACCCATCGGTGTTTTCAGCCACACAAGCATCATCTACCAGCTAGAGAAGATAAATCTGGGTCTACGCTCTTACCCATTATTTTATCTATCAGCACAGAAAACGGGGAAAATATTTATCAGCGATTTTGATGAGTTAATCAATTCTCCCCAGATGTTCGTAAAAACCGCAGAGAAACCCGCTGCATGTATCCATTAAAATCGCAAAAGACAGAAAAATGTTATGATGTGCAAAATACAACCGGGCTGTATACCCAAAACCCAGATTAAGTCGTTTGCACACATGAACGCTTTTTTTCAGCATTCCCTGCAGCCCGTTTGCATGTAAAAGTCTTCTTTAAAACCTCACGTTTTCCCCTGTCTTGATTGTCCGAAAAGCAACGAAGTAATGCATGAAGATGTTTGTAGGTATCCTGTCGCAAAATCTGGAACCTGATCCTAGCCTCACTGACAAAGTGCTCATGGGTTCTGGTAAATTCAAGGAGGGGAAATGTTGACCATCAACCCCCCCCCCAAAAGATTTTTTTCTATTTGGAAAAAAAATTAGAAGAATATTGGCTAGGGCGATTTGAGAGACTTTTTCGCTTCCCTCCTTCCAAAAGAGGTTATAAAACCCTCCAAATTTAGCTTCATTCGTAGGAATTGCAAAGAGATTTGCAAATAAAGAAATTTCGAAATGTCCCCCCCCCAATAAAAGGTCGTGCCCGTTCCGCTCCTATCCCCCTGGGTCTGAATTAAACCTTTGCTTGCTGGGGCCAGAATCTGATGAGATTATTCGCCGTACACAATGAACATGGTTCTGATGTGTTTATTCGCCGTACACAATGTAAATGGTTCTGACGTGTTTATTCGCCATAAAACACACCCTTAAAGTCCCTGATATTCAGTTCCACAGTCCTACATTAGAAAGAATAGTTTCCTTCTGTGACATCGATAAACATTATTTAGTCCCACGACGCTACAGATCAACGAATTGGAATACAACATTCTGCTTTTACCGAATAAAATTATCTTGCCATAAATCACATTTCATGAGAAACAGTTTAAAAACAGCATACGGAAATATTGGCAGTTCATTTCAAGACCTTATAGTTTCAGCCGTGATTACAATTGACTGACTGTGCCTGCTAATTCATGTGGCCTATAATGAGTATAAAACATCAGTAGCCTTGGCGTCCTCCAATAGCAAAGTGTGATATATAACGTGTCGTTTACCAAAACTAAAGCCAACGGTAGGTAAAGTACTCAGGCTAATGATATGCTGAGCATTATGACGATAATCCGCATTTTTCGGTACACAACACTTATGACATACTGGCTATGGACGCCATGTTTGTTAATGTCTGATACCCACTATATGTCACGTGACTTAGATAGCACAATCGGTCTAGTAACCAAAGTTGGAAACATGGAACGGAATGGTGTTGTGGATGGATAACGTTTCTCTCGAAGTGTGCGTCATTTTCTCTACATGTTGCAGTTCCTGACCAGGCCCAGCTGACAATTTTGCCTGATAACTCTTCCATATCCTCCTGCTGGAATGGACACGTGTTCCTCTATTGTCATCTCAATGATACTGACGCATCGGTGAAATGGAATGATAGTAAGGTCTTTTCCTTCAAAAAAAATGTTTGGACACATATTTACCGATATTAGATATTTCATCCAGTCTGTTTTAGAGTGCTTTGGGAGGTGAACTTTGAAAAAAAATTTGGTTCCACTATCGACCCTGCAGCCTTAATCCAGACTCTCTCTTTGTCTTATATAGGGCCTACTCTATTTCTAGATTTCTAAAACTATCACTTAAGTATTCCACTATCACAGCTTCGTGTCACAGATTCGAGTGATAGCGATGGCTTATCCCTTTTATCCTGGTGTTGATTAGACGAAAACAGTTTCTTCTAGTTAGGCCTATGTAAAACAGATCCTTCGATTAAACGTTTTAGATGTATTTGTGGTTTCCATTTGATGCCTTGACGTGTTCGTTTACGTGGTTCTTCCATCCATTCCTTCAGTGGACTGCAACACGCAAACCAACGACAGTTTTATTAAGCTGACATGCGTAGAGAATAAGTCAAATCTGGTTGAGTTGGATATCACTGTGCATCGCAAGACTGAAGGAACCCACAACTGTACAGCTGAGGTTGGAGGTCAGGTGCTGACGAAACAAGTGGAGATCATTGCAAGGGGTAAGCCCATATGAAGCAAACTGAGGGACACAGAGAACCCCCCCCCGCGCCTTTTTGTTGGTTATTTTTACACTGGTATCTGCAGGAATTCTTTTCAGACATCAAGGGGGGGTGTTAAGTGACAATAGACTGGAGTGTTTGTGGCGATTGGACTTGTTGGGGGGTACCCCTATGTCCCATTTCGTGCCTGGTATGGGTAAGCCAACCAAATGTACAAGAAGAACTATTAACAAATGTACAAATAAACAAGGTTTTTTCTGATTCCCCAAAAGTGATCACCATCAAGGTAAAATCGGTCATCTCCAAAGTAACAACATGAAGGCATAATAGCGGAAATGGCAGAGGCACGTACTTTCGTTCATTCGTACAAAAATACCTTTGCAAGGATCGGGAGCTAATATTTCGTTACGGAGTGCTTGTGCTTTCATGTTGGCTATACAAAATGGTGGAAATGCGTTCCTCTACTGGATATCTGTTAATACAATTATGTAGAACCAATTAATCCGCCTTACTTACAATTACAGCACGGTGAAATTACAGTTAAGCGCCTGATCTCCATATAAAAAGAGGTTGCATAGCTCTTGGGCCATTCAACCTACGCATACAAGCCGGGGCTGAAACGCAGTAGAACGTTAGTATTAAAATACATGTGTGTACTCAACGCTGTACACCCATGCCTCGGCAACTATTCTGTCATTATTTACCGTGTGTTTGTAACTGTGATTTGACTTCTAGACGACTGCATAACCCAGGACAGCCTACAGGAACGATGTGACGAATTCATGACCCTAAAGACCCAGAGTGAGACTCTCCATGACCAGTTCAACAACAATCAGGTAAACTTTTCACACTAAAATCTACCGGTAACCAAGTTGTACCCTCAGAGCTACTTTTGAGTAGGGGTTAAAGTTAAGTTTGTTTTTTTCATATATGCATTTTTTTTTGGTACGACTTTATTCTCCTCGCAAAGAAGTTAGACACCCTTTGGGGTCAAGTGTATTGAAAAGTGAACTTTTTACAATCGTTCAAACTTATGTGTCCTTTAACGGACGACAGAGCATGTATGTTCGTGAAGATCATTGCCAAAGTGCGCATGCGCAAGCTTTGCGCTTAAATTAAGAGCATAGTCTGATTTCGGGCGCTCTGGTCGCAAAAATGATTGAACACTCGGAGTGTGGAATAGATTTACTGTTAAAAAAAAACAGGATATCACCCACAGTTAAGAGATCCTACAAGCTTGTATTGTTTTTAATTTGATTGCACCTGCTGGCAAAAAGGCAGCAGAGATAGAACGGCCAAACTGCAGTCTCGAATAAACAAACCAGAACAACTTTAACGACACCGAACGGCAGAGCCAAATTGGTGGTGCACAAAAACGAGACTGAACGTTAACCCTGGGGAAAAGAAACCCTAGAACGAGAACCGAGAAATCTGCACGAATCTGAACACGTTTGCAGAAATGAACGGGTGTTTGTAAACAGGGTGAGGAAACTTATACCAATGCCAAATCTGTGTATTAAATATGCAAATGTAATCAAGAATGTCACGGTTAACACTCTGCATATATTATTTATATGATGATCCACGTGTGCGTTCCATTTCAAATCAATCAGATACTTTTTCTTCAAAGGTGGCAAAATATATTACATGTATGCGCATAATTAAAACAGTAAACGTGATAAAACTTCATTATTCATACAGACATGTTTATAATTAGTTACTCTATCTCCGAAAAAATTTCGTGTCAATCGGGCACTCCATCTCCGAGTTACTGGGGGAGTCAAATTGACCCCTCCCCTTTCCCCTTGAATATTCCTGAATGCACCCGACTGAAAAGGACTGAAAAACTCTGGCTGAATGAAAATTAAACTGTCGTCCCCGCCCCTCATCCACTGATCAGTCTTGCGTGGGCACCACATCCTCAAGTGTCTGATCAAGTCGGGCGAGTCTGGAAATATTGCACTTAATAAATTTTCTTGCTTTTTTCACGTTGATTTTGTGTGTTTCCTTCAAGGGGACTTGCTCCGTGGACATTCAGGACTGCAATAGCTGCACTTCGTGTCCGTGAGCTCCTGCCCGATTCACGCGGTCGGTATACATGCCTGGCCCTGTCGGCTGTACAGTGCCGGAGGCAGTCACAATAAATTGACCACAAAAACTCTCACTTTGTAAACCATATCAAATGTAAACACTGGTTTCGTTTGTTCTGTTGTGATGGGGAGTATGCCAATTATACGCATTACAATACTACTTAAAAATGTGTGGCTTTAAATGTTTTTACCGGATTGTTTGAATAATATGTTTATAAGGCCTACGGGGAATTTTTTTAACATTGTACATGATGACTCTATCTCGTTTAAATTGAGTAAACGGCCTACAAATGTATTCAGACTGAAGGGTATTAAATACTTTTATAGCTAGGAATAAGTTTACAGAGTAGATGTTAAGCTTCGTTTGTTTTGTGTTCTTCTGCCAGGCTCGTGTCGCGGAAATTGTATTGTAAAATACAGTTGTCTACAGCGTTGTGCAGTGGATTATGCTTCAAGAAAACTTGCCATATTTCTGCTTACATAGCCGCCATGTTCGGAATCAAATTTTTGTCGCAAGTATGGCGGGGAAGAATTATAGGCTGGTAGAAAAATGCAGTTTTTATGATGAAATGATGTAAAACTACGCCTGATTTCCTGTCAGTTGTCTTTTTGGCTCACCTTTGGCATTAATGTTAATGCAACGGTGGATCCTCATAATGAACTGAATTTGTATTGATTTGATATACATGTACATGTACTTATTTGAATCTTAAGTGTTTTTTTGTCATTTACTCGAGTTGAAACCTTTTGTGACATATTTAATTCAGCATCTCCTTAAATAACGTTTTGTTGGAAAGAACTCAAAGCGTCCGTTGTTGTTGTTGTTGTTTTGTTTTAATGGCGTTTTCAGCTACTCAGACTATTTGCGCCACTAACTATGCGTTTATGCATTATCTTTATTAATCAGCATCACATTATAGAGTTGGGAAGAAGGTCCAGTTTTAGAGGCAGGAGGAAACCGGAGTACCCGGAGAGAACCTGTGAGAGCGAGTATGGACTAGACACCAAATGCAATTAAAGCCTGGGCCGAGGCAGGACTCGAACCCAGGCCTCATTGGTACAAAGTGAGGAAAGAAACACTACGCTGCCCCGCCACCAACCCCACCCAGCGTCTGTTCACACTCAACAAATGGTTTTTATTGGTAGACAATCAGATTTCCTGTTAAGGTAAACTGAATCCGTCCTCAAGACTCCCGTAAACTCCCGTCTATTTCCAGGTCAGCCTCGGTTTCAAAGGCAAAGAAAAACGAGGGATTGGCCACTGTTTACACGGCTACCCAATTATGTTATGATGTTAGATTGGCAACTCATCGGCATTGTGGAAATAAATATTGCTTGCTTGATTGGTTTCCGTCCGTTTTTTCTCATCGGGCTGTAGTAAGCTACTGCTGTTGCATGGAGTTTTGTAAAATCCCTTATACATGTACATCGGCACTGATGTTCCCAAACAATCGTGGGCGTTAAACAAAAGAATCAATGATCGTCCACGATTCCTGATACGTCCACGATTGCCAAACATGTACAAAACATATTAGAGGCCTTCCAAAAAAGTTAAAGTATGAACAACAGAGGACAATAGGAACGTCCACGAATGCCCAAAAAATACGTTTATACGCGTTTAGTGTTTAAAATGCAATGCATCTTCATCAGTGATTATCCCCCACTGGACAGTTTTTCAAGTTAAAAAAATACTGTCCTAGAAAATTACTTTTTACTTTACAGGCACTCTTTCTCTCTCCTTATTTTGACAAGTATTTTTCGATATAAAACAGAATTTGCACACATTATTGGAGGATCCATGGCTCAACACGGGCCATCCCCCCAACAAAAGAAAGGTGATAAAGAAATCCCAACTTTAGCTTGACCCTTAGAGAGGCCATAAAAGGTTAGCATACATTCTCAAATTTCAAATGTTTTGGTCAGGAAACCATTTCCCTGAAAGCATCCCCCAACTTGCACTGTTTTGAGAATGATGAAAGGGACGATTATCCAGCCCAAAGGCCGAACCTGGGTTACGGGTTTGGATTCTGTCGCCTCTCCGCATCTGTCCACGTCAATTTTGGTGAAAACTGAAAAATGGCGTCATGTGTCCTGCTGCATTTCTTACATGAAGAAATTTCGGGGCTCAGTAATAGACCGATCTAGTGTCGAGTTCTACCTGGGGCGAATTGTGTTAGGAGACAAAAGTGAATACTTTTATCCATTTTCGCTGTTTGTGGGTTGGGCACAGATTTGGGAAAAAAGTTCAACACGAACATCCCTTTACAACTGAATCAACAAAACTTTATTTCAAGTTGGCCATGCCGAAGTCATCACTTACAACAATGAAGCTAGAGTCAACTTAAATTTTTACATTCTGCATTGTGTACGTATCACGTGATACAAATAATATACAATGTCTGACTTGGTTCAAGTCTGCTCACTTTTGCGCGAGTGTTACATAATTAAGTGTGATGGCAATATGCCTGTTCATATGGGTTTTGACTGAAATCAGACTTGAGGCAAGTTTAACAGGAAAGTGACATCACTAGCCTCTAATACCGAACTGAGCATCTTCTCGGAACCTGTAGAAATGTAGCCTTTGTGTTTAGATTGCCAAATCAGCACAGCACTTTCGTCATCAGAACCGGTCTGCATGAGTGATATCTGAATTTCTGTGATGCCTTTAGATGGTAGGCGCTCACATCAATACCAGTACCTTTCAGCTGGTGTCTGTGTTTCTGTGATGCTGTATTTAAATGGCAATCCTCCGCATCAGTACCAGTATGTCTTAGCCGGTGTCCGGGTCTCTGTGATATTGTTGGCTTCCATCAGCTCTTGCTCTACTGTCTTCAAGGACAGTGTGTACGTCTTTTTGCACACGTCTTCAGCCACGGTATCCTTCGGTTGCTCTGGGGGTCAGAAAACATCATCAAAAGCAATTCAGATCCACCTGCTAAATTCAGAACGTCAAATCATGTTGGACTACTCCAAATTCAACGAGACAGATTTTATGAGACTCACCACTCCATGCAGGAACCAGAGAGAGTACGCTTTTGCACAGCAACAATGGTCGTTCAGTGGGAACTTACTGCACGTGCGCGCACCGGTTCAAGCGTGTTTGGCATGGGATGCACTGAGCACGCACGACCAATTGATGCTGCAATGCACAGCCTTCGCATGTGTGCCGGGCGCCCTGGATGAAACTATTCCTTCCAACCTATTTGATTTTTGGCAAGGGAATGGATACTCCAAATTGGGATGGCTACTCAACAAACCCGACAGCAGAGCTGTTAAGTAGACATAATAAAATGCTTAGCAGATACAACAATAAGACACATCACCAGCATCATACACTACATGTATCCAACAATCTGGCATTTAACTTGTTTTTGCAAGTCAAGACTTTTAAGGTGCTTAATAATTCCTGTGCCTCTCATCTACTTGAAAGTGTACACAAGTGTTTATCAAGAATGACTGCTCACCGATGTAGCTTTCCCGGGTCTTGAAGTCTTTGTGCTCGTCCGTTTGGGGGATGGGAATGATTCGCCCGGTTCGCTTGGACACTCTCACTTTATCACCGGCTTCAGTAAAGCGAAAGTCCACGTCAGCAGGTTGGCTGTTAAGTGAAAGACAGAGAAGGGCAATGAGTGCGGTGTGTTTAATGGCTGTGCACCTGAACTAAAGAGGGCGCTGTACTGCTTTGCAATGAGAATTTCATTGGTTCACGTGTAACAGTCAGGATAGCAGGAAAGGCCAGGTTCAGCCAGCCATAAAGATAAACATAACACAGGCTCGTCTGTGGTCTTTCCATTATCCCTAACCCTTCAATATCCTTCAAAGACCATTAAGGGATTTTGGAGACCTACACACTGTTTAGGAAGACTGAGCCCAAGCTTGGCCAAATTAGTGGGGCACCATAAATACTGACCCTTGCTGTAATATTATAGGTGGCGTTGCGAGGCAGTGTTTCCAATGGCGACTGACTGTGGCACACAGCTGTGTTTCAGGGCATCATTCTTGGTTGGTCCCATGTTTATTTGACATTTCTGGTGTAGGCATTCCTTTCTTCTTGTGAAGCTAAGAAACCTCAGTAAAAAACTTCATTTTCTTGAAGTGAGAACACTACTGGGAGCTGCTTTTTTTGGTTGGTTTCCTTGACTATTCCTCTTCCTTTTGCTTTGGATGACCCTGATCTGAAGATGCTTCTAAACCTGTTTATCAGAGAAGGGAAAGCCTTGTGGGGACCTGGCTTAGTCCATGCAAGGCTGACACAACCTGCTACATTCCCCACTACTGCACACTGTCGTTGTTTACACCCTAACCACCCTTGCCACCATCAGAGGGCAAATGTGTCTTAAGAGTCGGATTCAGGCCATCAGCTGGAGCAGTATTCACTCAGTGCTGTCCAAGAGCACGGTAGCAAAGTTAAGGTGGTAAGGCCACAAAAAAAAAAAGTCGGTCTCTGGTCAGCACGTGCGTCGATTTTGAACGACAATGTTTTTTTCCATTATTTTCTCAAAATTTTCAAAACAGCCCCCTCTATTTCCATACTGCCTGAATGTTTGCGAGCAGACTGATTCCCGGCCACAAACCCACAAGTCCGAAGGGCAATTTGTTCAAGTAACCAGACTAATTCATGGGTAGCTCGTACCCGGTGATAGATCCATTACGACTGCGTAATGTTGATGATCAACAACAATGGCGGCATGACGGGTCCGTTGCCAGTCTTAAAATGCCCCCCTATCCCCCCCCAAAAAAATGCATCGCCGCATTAATTCTGGAACTTAGGTCTGACCAGAGACCGAGTATTTTTGGGGGCGGGCTAATCAAAGCTTTGATCTCCAGGTCTCTAGCGCTGATGTCTTAACCACCCAAATAGGGTCAGTAGAGGGCACAAATCAACATCTACGCAAGATCAGAAAATGCCAACCAAAGCGGAAGAGCAAAGGGCTTGTGAAAAAATTCCCCGAGCTTACTGGGACGAGGTTCGAACCCATGATGGTCAGCAGACGTCTCATAAGGGTCATGAGTTTCCATTAAGACGGCAATGAGTAGTACAATGTTGTTGAATGTTAAAAGCCACTGTCGTATCAGTGGGCAATTCTAATTGAGGTTACCAACTCACTTGTCTGATGGATCGACCAAGGCGACATCATGGACATTCAGCGGTGCCTCACTCACCACGTAAGTTCCATCATAGCCTGGCATTCTGCCAATATACCGGTAGTGCTAACAATTATGTGAAAAAGAAAAGTACCGAAGGCACGTTTAAGAACTTCACTTCCAATTTTCACGCTTGGATGCTTAGAAACCTCCATCTTTCAAATCCCAGTCAACTGTTTCCTTAGACTAACCAAATAGAGTGCACATTGTTAAACTCCAACTATGGTTCAGTTCATGATTTTGTTGTTTCCGAGAAATCAGATGTCCCGTAAGCCAACCCTGCCAATCTTTGTTAAACTTAGTCAGTTAGTAGGCATGGAGAGACATCCTTCATGAGTGTTACCTCTTGAATTTTACTTCCGTTGGATATAGGATTTAAGTTAACGTATAGGATTGCGTACTTCACACTCTCAGGCTCGTAATCTAACCTGCACTGAGCACATACCAGTGAAAACGTTGGTCAAAACATTTTTTCACAACATGTCTTGAGAAAATGGCATTTCAAGAGAACAGTACATCAGTACCATTGGTATGGAAATGACCCCAAGATATCAGCCAAACATCTCCTAAAGGCTCAGCACAATAAAACCAAATTCACTACAACATGGTAGATTGCACCCCCGGCTCTTTTAGGGTTAAATATCTTTATTAAGCCCATCATTACCTGAAAAAAAATGCTTGCTTAAAGGGTAGTTGCAATCATACCTGTAAAATGCACTTTTGTGCCTCAGTAAACCTTATTTTCAACTTTGGTGTTACTATTTCAAAGGGTATTGTAATGCTTTCTTGGTTTCTATGCAGAGTATTTCCATATTCATGAGCGAAACTGTGATGTCATCTCAGGAAGAAGCCTCGATGTTACATTGGTTTGTGCAAAAAAAAGTCCTTCGATTTTGTTGATTTTCCTGGACTAAAGTTAGCAATAAGAAACCATCAATGTTTTCAGTTAGCAAATTCTGGGTTCACAATTTGAATAGAAATTCCTATGTCTCTCCTAGATGACCTCCTAGCAACACCATCCTCAGTTGTCCGTAAAAACATGAATAATTCTGATTGTTTAAAGTGTACACTTTTCAATGCATTCAACCAAATTCAAATGTGTAAGAGTTTTCATACATTGAAAAAGTACAAAGCTGCAGAAAAAATCGTGTCAAAAAAAAATTCATTGCAGCTACACTTTAAAGAATCAATTATTTAAGTCTACCAACTTACACAATTGAGTCCTTTTACGACTACCCAGTTCCTCTGCCGTATGATGTCACTGATGATCCCTTGCTTGCCTGTATCTTTACCCTTCAGTACCTCCACCTGTTGGGCAGCGTTAGGAGAGGTCCGGGAACATTGGTTTTCCTTTTGTTTTGTTTGATGTCTAGTTTGCTTTGCTTTGGAAGGGGGTTCTTTCCCATCGTGACAAGCATAAACCAAGTATTGATAATGGTGAACCTAAGTGCTGAAGTTGTGTTTCACAAAAACAAAAATTGTGCTTACTCCTGCAAATTCGTTGACAGATTTTCCCAAACGTTTAAATGGAACTGCCCCTTTTTAGAGGTTTGACGTTTTGATCGATACAATCTGGCATTCATGTTTACTGTAAACAATACCTGTAAAATGTAATCTGCTTTTCAGAACACTTTACTGCTCGGTCATATCAAGAAATACCACGAATTCATCACCAGAACTTTGGGTCAACACTGTATACAATTTATTGTATTTAAAGAGTTCAATGACACCGTGGTAAGGGTGGGACGTTTACACGTGACCCTTAACCCTCCTTTGGTTTTACAGCACAAATTTGCACAAATGCCCACAGTCACTGGTGAGCATGTAGTTTCTATATGGCACTCAAACATGCACAGGTTCAGTGTGTACACAGTAGGTTGCCAGCACAAAATGACCCAGGGTCCTCCGTGCAGTCCTCTTCAGTACATTTGGTTTACTGCACAATGATGCACATGAAACAGTGNACAGCTGTGCTTCTTTGAGGTGTTTACCAAATGACCCAAAGAGTGACTTCAGCATAGGAGGGTTAAAACTAGGAATTTTTGTACACTCTTCATAATACCTTGAGGTCCTGCTTCTGATTGGTAGTGCAAAAGACATGAAATCTAAGTTTATGGTCTTGACAGGTACATAAATGTAGGAACAGTTGGTGCCGCAGTTAAAAGCCAGTTCATATCTCGCGTGAATGTAACGGTGAAGTGAACTTGCCATCAAGAAATGTTTGCAGCAAAAATGCGCAATGAGCTGCAACTCACAGCACAAATACGTGTATTTGAGACAAACAATCCTTGCATAGGATTGTCTGAGGAGAGTGGCTAACATATAAATGGCAACAGGTCATTTCACTGCTCATGCCTCTGACTTACCAGGTCTCCCTTGAAATACTTCCAGTTCCGGATGGGCTCCACCTGCACCTTGTTGCGATCCCGCCCTGGCAGGTTGGCCAACTGGGCCTGGATGGTCCAGGGCCTGGACATGACATAGCGGTAGTGTCGGTTGATCCTCTGCCAGCTTGGTTTCTCTCCCGCCTGGCGGGCCATCAGCAGGAGATTGGTCAGTCGGACCATGGTGGGTGCCGTAAGACGGTCAAGTTACTGACTATGGGACAAGAAAATGACTGTTTTGAGGGGCAATCATCTCTGGAGAGAAATACCATCAAATGTCATGATGTAGGCCTACGTGTACATGTATGTATTAACTTGCAGCAATCTTCCTACAACCTCCATGTTTTTTCGACATACATGTATAGCTGTAGGGTTGCGTGCGTACAGTGTATGGCCCGAGTAGTGTAATGACACAGACTGCTTGCCACGTTTCCATCCCGCATTATTTGCATGGGCGCGGTGCCCTGCCACACCTGCATTTGATTTGTGCCTTACGCATGCTGAGGCTTGAACACCCAAGAAAATTGTATTTTTCCTGTCTTTGAAGTGGAGGTAGGCCTAGGCCTAGCGCCTAGTCAGCTTATTTACCATGTTTACCGGCATAACTGGTCTGCAACCTTATCTCCACAGCTTGAAAAGTAAGCTTGCCACCGGCACATGCATAACTGGTTCACGACACGCCGACCATGGCGACGGTAATGCCAATTATGCCAACGTGTTAAAATTCCTCCAACTTCAGCATGCTCAATTCAAGGGTAGGCCTAATCATGCTAATTCCAGAAATTAGGGGTCCATTTTTTCCGTGTCCCTCGTCACATCTGACACACTTTTGGATCCTAATTACTGCTGCACCTATGGTGTTACTAAGGATTAAACTTACCTGTACAATGACAGTGTTGTCCACAGCTATAAAATAATACTAAATGGATCTTGGAAATCTTGCAAACTTCCAGGTTCTGCTACTTGCACAATAAAAGAATCGCACAATCATGAGTTTGTGGACGCAGACATATTGAACCACTGAGCAACTTTGTCGAATGGGGGCGCTATTTTACCACTTGAGCGTTCATAGGAAAATCGCCCCCATGTCAATTTGCCTGAGACTGTTTCCCCCCGACGATCTTGCTCGACCAAATCGCACTCAGCAAACTGCGACGTCTTACTCCTAGCTAACTCGCTTACCTAAAAAGACTGAATGTATTACAACTTTCGTTGCAAATACGTGTATGTATGCAGGAGATTCAAGTTTCATCTCCCCCAATCACACATTTGTATTCGATAAAAGAAAAAAAAAGTTTTGGGATGAGAAATGAAATAGCCTATGAACTCTCCACTTGGATATCTTAAGTCAGCGCAATCATTTGCTAAACGTAAACTCTTTCCTGGCAGACAGGAAACGACGATAAAACAGGATCTTGTTTTTATGGTTGATACATAAACAAAATTATAAATCACGGGTAGAGCTTGCAAACGAACGAGTCACGTGTCATTAGTAAGAGCCTTGTTTTCATACTGTCAAGCTCAAGTCTTCTCAGGGATCAAACGTTTATTCTTGGGGTGAGGCAATTTTTTTAAAAGCCTACCTTTTATGGCTTTAAGGTTTTATCAGGCCATATTTTGGCCAAGCTAACTGGGGTTCATTTTGCAGGGATGGGCTCTCGTTTCTAGGGGGGCCGCAGTGGGTTCGGTGACGGTTAAAACACTCAGGCTGGCATTAACTTGTTAAGATTGTTTTCCTTAAAGTTCTCTTATTACTTGGTGTGTAGGGGAACACGGGGCCACACTGGCCTCGAGCGGGGACGGGGGATTGTGCCCCATCCAGAGGCGGATCTGGGGGGGGGGGGTAATTGCAACCCCCGTTCAGCCGTGGAATCGGTGAAATGACAGAAAATGAGCACCAAGAAAATCATCCATCTATATAGTTAAGTTTTTCTTGTCATCAGGGAACGGCGCATGACGCTTTCGGACCTCCTTAGCAGGGCATCCCTTCAGTACGCCCATCAACCCCCCCCCCGTTTCCTGAAGGCTAGATCCGCCCCTGCCATTTCTTACCCCCCGTACCCCTTGGTTGTACCACTGTAGAAATATGAAAGAGACAACAAATAAACTTTCTCTCATGATTATTTTGCCAAAAGAAAAGTTTTATTCCTCTTTCCTTTTTTTTTTTCGTTTTCAGTTTTTTGCTAATTTTTGTTCAAAAGCTTTTAGTGTGGAACACTTCAAACATTTTGGTACATGCATTGCTCTTATAAATTCTACCAGAAAACAAACTTATCTCAGTGTCTATTCAAAGAAACAAAGGTCTCAACATTCAAGTTAGCAGTCATTCTGGTTGTTTGTGTGAAATCAACTCCACTTAACAAAACCAGAAATACAGAAAGTATTGTGATTTAAATTTGTATCCCCATCTTTGTAGACCGCGAAAGATTCCATTCCACTCTAGCTGGTCAGAGACACCGGGAGAAACAGTCGTTACAGTCAGTCCCAAGCGGGCATTGGGTGTCGAAGGCCCCTGGTCCACCGTCGTTGCAAATGTCGTTGTTACGATGAGGAAGGCAAGTCTCGCTACATAAGGGACCTGGATAATGGGGAAGAAATTTAGACGATTTGAGTCAGTCTACTCCCCGCTGAGCGAGGTCAAACGATTTTCAGGGTTGACCAAGAAAAGTCATTGTGGAAGAAGCTGTTAAAGCTGCCACAGGTAAGATGAGACCCAGTGTCGTAAATTGGATGAATTTTTGCCTGGTAATATTGAGGCCGGTTAATAGTGAAGCTAACATGAACTCGACACTGCTTATCAGTTTAAACATTCGGCCTGCGAATTCACAAGAGAAAAACTTAATTTAAACACACGTTTTCGCTGTCAGTGCTTTGCTAAGTCAAATTCGCTTTGTTTAGCGATCGCCTGAAGTACGAACCAGCCCCCAAAAATGAAAAAAAAAATGTCTTGAATGATTCATTGTCTTCTTTTAAACTTTGTTAGACTTGAGCAGCACCTGTTTGATACCGCGTGATCCTAGTCTCTTAAAAACGCTTGTATTCAGGAGTAAATTAATTTATCCGTGTCACTTTTCAAGGCTCTTCATCCAAAGAAATATTTCATATGTGAGCAGTACCGCCAAGGACATCATGACCAAAAACTCTTTGTCCAGCTGTACACACTAGATCACGACCCGGCACCAAACGTCTTAGAATAATCATGGTCTTTTACTAATCTAAAAGCTCTTACATATACGGTAAAAACTGCGCACAACAGAAAAAGTAGTTGTGTGATGTCATCGTCACGTGACTCGCAGAGTGGACAAAACTTACTTCCTGACGGGCAAAAGTCGCAGGTGGTACCATTCCAGTTCTCTTGACAGATGCAGATGAAGTCAACGGTGTTTGGTACACTACCAGGCACAGAGCTGCACACGCCTCCATTCAGACATGGATTGGAGCTAAGGGCGATATAAAAATGACCCGACAGTTTATGGTAATCCGGACAGGAACAGCAGATAGGACTGGTCTCCTATTAGGAGACCAGTCAACGGAGCCTGAGGCGCCATGCTAGGTACGATGGCACCGTTTTTTCGCTGCGGCGATCGGTACCCAGTTGATTCGCACCATCTGACTCATTTTCGTCTTGACGGCAAACCAGCATGACGCGTCAAGTGAGCGTCGGCACATAATGGCGACGGTGTTTTAATATCTGACCATTTAATACCAAGGTCTAAATGATGTTAGCAACTGATGTCTAAATTATTCCACCTTGACAAGCAGGATAAAACGAGAGCTCTACAGTATAATCAAGTTTACATTTTCAAAAGGTGAAAGACATTTTTCGAAGTCCGTTTCTATAGTTATTTTTTTTCCAGTTTCGCTTTTATGAGAACAGTTAAGCAACCCATGCCCTTTTAAAACCATCCCCAGTGATGCTCAAGAAAAGCAAAATAAAAATTAACAATGTCAAGTGCAATTATTTGGGTCTGTCTGAGAAACATATTGTAAAGAAAAGGAAGAGTTCCCCCCCCCCCATACACGGACGCCGGTAATTACTCCCTACATTGATCCATTAGCCATCAGAAAGCAAAACATGTCCAGAAAAGTTCAATGCAGGAGAGAAAATACCAAGACGTTTAATGAGAAAACAGAATTTGTCAGACCAGACTCGTAAGGGTTTGTGCACGGGTGTCAAGTGGCACCCGTGTATGGAACTCCGGCCGGAAAAGGAAAGTTTGACAATACCCAGAATTCCAAGGATTTCGGTATTAATGATGGCCCTCAGACTTCGTTTGCTGCATGTTTCGTTTGGAACTTTACAGCACAGATAAGCCAACCACGGGAAAAATAAATGTGCAGTTTGGCTTCCCGTTTTACGCCATGGCCGCTGTACCAAACCAAAGTAATTTCTTCAGCCAGCAACTAGTAGGGCCCACTCCAGGACAATTAATTGTTCAACGCTCACCTGCAGGGGCAGTCGCGCAGGGGTGGCGGCGGTGAGGCCTGTGGCGGTGGTGGTACCCGATGCAGTCTTCTGGCGTAGACGACTGGCTGAAACGAGTCGGCCAGCTGTGACTGGAAACGACGAAAGATACCGCGAACCTCCCTGACATGGACGATGGAGCACAATCCAAGGATAAGCAAAATGGTGGTCGGCCGGGCAAAACAAGGCATGTTGGATCTTACGGGAAATAGAAAAGGGTAGAGGTTAACCCGGGGGTCCATTAATTCCACATGATTTAGTCAACTCACTTTGGCCGTGATTGGTACTCCAAAATTGACGCGAATGTCCTGGGAAAGTATTAACTCGCCACGGCGAAGCGTTTACTTGGATTTTTTTTTTTTGCTCTCGGAGCAGATAGCTCCAATCGCGCTCGCGTGCTGAAAGAAACCTTGTGCACTGGCCCAAGAATTACATCTGCATCTAGATCTGAGCCACACCCACGAGCTGGAATGTGAAATGGTAAAGGAACGGAACCATGCTTTATAATGTTTAAAGTGAGGGTTCGCTCATTTCAGACGCCACTTTTCTGTGTACATGCACAAAGTAAATAGAGGGGAAAATGGTTTCATCCTGGCTCCACTTCAGCAGTTGTGTACAAAGTCTATGGAGAGTGAAGAGAATTTTTTAAGTATTTCCCAACAACATCGGTAAATGTTTTTCAGTCCAGAATTCGTGTCTTTCCAGCGTTTCTGTAATGACTGACTTTTATTGAGATGATATATGGTGAGAAAAGTGGAGTCAGGATGCAACATTTTTTCCAAATAGATATATGGGGAGGCGAAAGTTTCAGAAATTTTGGAGGAAATTTTTAATTTCTCAGGGAAAGAACTGACTCTTCTGACGCTGACGCTCGGCGATTGATTAGGCCGTCATTCTTTCCAGGAATGGAGCCTCATTTCAACCCCCATTTTTCACGTGGTTTATATGAGAAAGCAACACTTTAATTACCGGGAATATCGCCAGTCTGTGAAGAAACTCTCAGCTCTGCTTCCACACCAGCCTTTGATGAAACGATCTTCAGAACCACACGTATGTTTCCTTCCTCAACTTAGTTCTGCTTATTGTTCAAGGTCGTACACTAGCTGGAACGCCAGTGAGCTTTTGTAATGGAAACGAGACATTTGATGGATTATTTTGCCAGTCAATGGTCTTTTGTACTCAAATATGCGGTAGCCTTTTTCGAGCAGTGATTTATTTCCTCTCTTCATGCAAACCAAAATCATGATATTCTTGCAATCGGGGTTTTCAAAAGAATGTGAAACGCATAAATATGAAGCCAGCGTAGAACTAAAGGCCATGATAGTCATTAGCTTCCAAAAGTTTTTTTTTAAGCCAGATTGGCGAACTTAAAAATGAGGTTCGTTGTGAGTTTATTGTGTCACAGCAATACATAGATTGCTTAATCGAAAGTCCAGTTGATTATTCGAATAGTGCAGAATTTTATTAGGGTTTAATGGTGTCGATACAAATCAGTTTATGATAATGTCAAGGAACGATTTTCTAATGACGCTGTCGCATGAAATGGCTCAGTATCTCTTTTTAAAAAACTTTCGCACATTTGGCTTTATCGAGTGTGTCATTACAAACTTCCATTGCAAATATATATGTGGGGTATATCTTCAGGAAAACCCCTACAAGAAAGATTTTCAATGGTTTATATTGTACTTTATGTTGGCAACATGAGGTGCGGCGTCTCCATGTGAGACTACGGCATACACAAGTATCGAACACTGGCTACGGCTCTCCACCGCTGCCCCTTTTAATCAAAATCCGAAGCCGTATCGCAGGAGACATAACTGGGTTATGGCTACCCCTATCATGCGCCGCCCCATACAACCCCATGTATGAACTAACACCGGCAGTGTTGGGTGAAAAACGTGACCTGCGCGCATGTTGAACAAACAAACTGCATGGAACCATGGTGCGGTCTTTTATTAGTGAGCTCTTTGTAACTATCGTATTTTGAATATCAATTCCTTTCCCAAAGGAATTTTCAATAAACATTCCCGGCATAGCTTTTTGCAAACAGACCTGAATTAAACGCGAACAAGAAAATTCATATAAGCATGGAACAGAAGAAACTGAGAATGGAATCTGATTTGCTTCATTTCCATACCTGTCGAATATGGCCGAGTTTCACGCAATTATGAGGAACGCAAACCCAAACCGAAAAGTTCCGTCAGTTTGTGGACACTAAATCTTGGCATGAAGCTATGCCTTAGTTTTTGACAGCACGGGAGCAAAATCAAAGCTGTTTTTAAACAGAAATGTTTGGCATGTGTTGTAATTTTCCTCTTCAAAATATGACTTCCGCATGGAACGTCGTTTCAATCACGTGCCAGTCAAGAATAATGCCTCAAGTGTGAGTCACATAGGCTAGATTCATTCACCAGGGCAAAATCTTGTGCAAAACACTTTCAGAGCTGAGCCTGCAAACTCTATGGGTAACAGACTTCAGATGTTTTCCGCCTGCAAGCTTGGTAAACTCCCAAAGGCCCTTCAACGTCATTTAGTGAGCAAAAATAAAGCATATCTGCGCCAACCTGACACAAGGTTTTCCCCCGCAACTAATGTTGCTGCCTGTAAAATGAAATTAAATTGATGCGGGTTCATAAACACATCTTGAACGGATAGTTTATTAAATGTACTGCTACCACTAACTCTTTCATACATGTAAATACTCTGCTTCTGAAAAATAATAATGGAATACCATTCTGACCTATTGAACAAGGATTGCCAATTGCCCAACGGTCTTTATAAATGATGGTGGAGACGGTGGGGAGAGTTTGGAATACGCAAACATACATGTACTGTGTACACAATACTTTACTTAAAATATAAATGTTTATTAATGACATTTTGCCCACTTACAAATCATTTCGCTGCTACATTCGGCATCTGCATCCAATTTTTACGGTGTTCTTAAATATTTTGGGGTCATCACACACTGCGGGGTAATTTCAAATGGGGTAATGGACAAAATGTGCATGTAATCCTACATTTAAAAGATACGATAAACACCTTGGGCAAACCTTTTGAAATAAAACAACACTCAACCCGCACTCCATCTAACATTAATTATCAAGTCCATCTGACGAATCATGGAGGACTCTAAAGCGCAATTGGTCAAAATAAACAACTTTGAAAGCCTGTGGCATTTCACTGGGGGCTGGAAGAAATCCTCTTTTAAAATTTTGACTTGCAACCTCATTTCACATGATCTGCTGACAGTGTTTAGGACTGCATCTTTGCCGATTGGCAAGTGAGGAGAATCTTGTTGGTCAGAGAGTTTACAAGCAATGTTGGCCTGATTTTATTCAACTTTATTTTGACACAGTTCAGAGCTTTCACTCTGGTGTTACACCAACCTAAATGGATATGTAAGAATTTGGCTGTTGCCTTTAAAAAAGAAAGCAGTAATTATTCATGTGACAAGTACATAAGAAACATGCAATGTGGAATCAGCAAATTTGATTCTGGGCTGAATTCAAGCCAATCACCACATTTATACTCTTGACTCCTGAGCAAATGAAGGGCAGAAGTATGACTAATGGCTAAGTGAGAACATATACTCGATCCAGCCAGAAATATAGTCTTGCATCATGTTACAAACGAGTACAGACACGTAAAGGTTTCCACTCGGTCTGTGCAATGAATTGGCAGAGTTATATGAACATGTACAACATTTTCTTACAGCCACGCTTATCGAGAGTTTACACAGTCAAGGATCAATGCGATCCCTTCAAAAATCTATGCATCGTCCCTTCCGCTCCCAGTCCCCGTATCTGGTGGGCTCAGGGCCTCTTGGGCCACCTCTCTCTCCTGTGACAGGGTTGATATCATCAGGGAAGGCTTCCAGAGGTTCCTTCTCGGCATCACGGTGCTTCTCTGATGGGCTGTCGTGCTTGCCAACGGGAGTGTAGGGCTTCTTAAGGGGTGGCTTCCCACTGTTTGGAGGTGACTGGGAGTACAGTCGGTGCTGTAAATGTGCTAAGTGTTCTGTGACCAGTGGTAAGCTCCTAAGGCAATGCCAACCTGCAGAAAAAAATACACTGAACGTAAACAACTTTTAGCAAAAGGCATTTGCTGAAAAGCTTGAAATTTTAAGCTGCATAAGGTTTTGTCACTCAACTTGATTAAAGAATAAGTCTGAAAGAGTTCCATATATGGGCAACACTTGATACCTATGACTGAGACTTGTTTGAAAAAAACTATGTTGTGTTTTCTAACAGTTTCTAACAGTAGAGGTGCACATCATAACTCCAGGACTGTCCCTGACTTGGGGACAACACCAGTCCCCCACAAGAGAGAATGTCCCCATACAAGGGGGACATTTTTCCAAGTGGCCTTGGGTCAAAAATATCCATGCACTGTTATAATTTTTTACTCCCAGATTTTCCATTCATTTAAGGTGTTCCAATTGTTTTATATGAGCTTTGCACCATGCCACTGGATTAAGTATATGTAAAGGACTGATATTTGGAAAAATTGTTATGATAGGTCTACATGTACAGTCTTTTTTCCCACCCTTTATGCTAACTTGAATACACTTGCTCACAATCTTAGAAGTACAATGTAAATGGTAAAATTTTTTTAACGGCAGCCTTGGGTGGTTTTTTTTCTGCTGAATCAAATCAGGCCTATGGTAATAAAAGAATCCCCAGGGCAATGGTACTTGTACAATCTCCAAGCCCACTTGAAAAAAATTGTCCCCACTTAGGCCCTTGTAACATGATTAATAAATTTATTAGGCGGACATTCTCTGTTTTGGGGACTGATTTTGTCCCCAAATAAAGGGACTCCTCCACATTCAGGGACAGTCCCTGAGTTGTGATCTACGGCTAGGCTACAGCTCACCCCACAGTAGGCCTATTCATAATAGACCTAGTTCTGCCACGAACTTAGTTCTGGGCGTATGAGCAAATGCTTCAAAATAAGCCTTGGCCTAACACTGTTTTGCACCATTTATTTCAATATCAGTCAAATAAATAAATTTTCTACGAAGCATACCATCCCTTGATCGCCTTTCAATGCTGTTCTTGGCTAACAAAAAAGAGTTCACAGGCTTCAAAAAGAGGAACTGTTTCACAACACGGAGAGCTAAGGGCGCCGCCATCTTGTTATGAAATGAGCATGGAACTATGGGAAATTTAGGGATAATCAATTGTTTATTTCCCAAATCTAATATACCCTCCGAAATTCATTGTGTTCTAAATACTTTCAAAATTTCATTGTACCAAATTTTAAATTAGACATTTAAACAAAACTGGTGGTTATAACATTTGAATTGTTGCTCATTTTTCTAAATAAATATCTGTTAGTGCATTTGAACTAAAATAAGTTAATCAAACATTGGCGGTTCTATTGAACTTCACGCTCTTTTCGTTTCGTCTGTTGCCAGTCTACTTTATTTGCAACGCGAACGATGTTGAGTTGCGAAGTGCGATTTCATATTTGTTGATGGTTTCTTCTTTGAGATATCAACGTACGATTTGCTGTAATGGATAACACCCCATATGGCACAGTACATTTAGTAACGGGTAAGTAGCTAATGTCATGATGATCTGATTGATTGTGGGACAACTCGCTCGACAGCGATCGATCGGCCGTTTACCCACTCGACTTGGCCATCTCGGCACGCTCGGACAGTCATGGCCGGCGCGGCAGTGGGCATGGTGGGGGTGTAACCTAGACCGTAAACATGAAACAGGGCCCAACGAATACTCCTCCGTCGTATACATGTACTGGGCTCTGTCCCGATTAATAGGGATTTCGTTCGAAAACTTAATCCGGGCCATCCAGGGGTGTAACTAAACATCCGCATAATTTTATGAGCTGAAATTGCACCGGTATGTTCACTACTTATGGTGTAAACCATCTGCTAGGTTGTTAATTGTAGAAAACCTTTTTCACCACCTACTGGCTTTCTTAAATGCCAAAAGGCAAACTTTTTGGGCTTTAGTGATATTTCCGACTTCAAAATCTGACCGTTTTCACTCAACACACGGACGACACTCCAACTTTTCGCTGTCTGCTCCATTCTAATATGCGGGCCAAGATTTTGCGACTGCAGTGACTCTATGGGTGAACATGGTCCTCTAATGAAACGGCAAGAGCGGCCCATAAGTAGTCAGGGCACAAGACGTATTGACCAGGAAGCAGTTGTTGGTAGCACGCCCAACCGTCATGATCAACAAGTCTTGTGCCCAGACCACGTATAGGCCACTCGTGCGAGTTTCTGGGAGGACCTTGTTCGCCCATGGAGTTATTCAGCCCGCGTATTTGAATGGAGCAGGCGGCGAAAAGTGCAAAAAGTGTCGTGTGTGTGTGTCCAGTGAAAACGGTCAGATTTTGACAGATTTTGCAGTCGGAAATATCATTAAAGCCCCCCAAAGATCAGTTGAAAGATTTGAAGGTACTTGTACATTTACAGTTTGCCTTTTTTCTTTCCCCAGATTGGTGATTTCTCAGTCAACAAAATTCGACAGCCACATTTACAAGGTCGTCATTTCAAACAGTGACATCATGAGCAAGAAGAAGAGCAGAAGCCACGCCTTGCAGAGTCTGCTGCCAGACTCCTTGGAGACCAGGGAGATCTTCTTCACCAACTTGTTGCTTCTGGGCTTTGAGCCGGCAGAGGCAGAGAGGAGGCACACCATTCCATTCAACAGGTTTGTGGGTGGTTGCAGAAGACAGCGATACTCTGTGTACATGGACATTAGATTGGCGAAGCCAATGGGTCTGCGTGTATATGATGAATTTTATTTGACAAACTTTGGAGTAACTTTATGCTATTCTCTTCATCGGTGTCTGAATATTTTTGACATGATTCAGGTATTGACCCTAACCTTCCCCAACCACGCAGAATTAAACAGGAGTAAAGTGTTTGATTCTGTGGGGATAGGGCTGGTAGGCCCAGACAGCTGGCTTTTGCATTGGGTTTGGCATACCTCAGAAAAGGTCCAACAGCCTCTGCACAAGGTCCCATATGGGTGTTTAACTTTGTGTGAATGGGGAAGGTTAGGTCCAGCAACCCTTGGGCAGTTAGGGTTGAAGTGTATTGGCCGGACATATTGAATTGAGAGAGAGGTCAACTTTTAGATTTTGGAATCTGAGCATAAAAATGAAAGCACTGAAATAAATCGTCATTACAAATTCATATCATTTATTCTGATGATGAATGTTAAATTTGTGATCAATCATGTTTAGATGTTTTTGCGCCACAATTCCCCCCCCCCCAAAAAAAAGGCCTTGGAACCACTACATGTTGTCTGGCATCACCCATTTAACGGATTACATTGAATAAGATCCCAATCAAAACTAGCTTCCCTGTAACACTTGACACATTGGGGGCAGTATTTGCTGTGATGTTTCTCAGGGAAGATGCTCTTAAATTGGTTTCTCTGATCATCTCATGGACCCAAAATGTTTCTCTTTGCAAACATTTCTGTGAAAGGCTTGCACATTGGCTTGTTACGTGTGCCAGTACCTTTACTCACGTTACAATAGATCACTCAAGGGAAAGGAAATTTAAAACAGCAAATGAATTCAGCAGTTTCTTGTGCAAAACAGGCTGAAGAATTAATTGTTGAAGTAATACATGTAAGGTACATGTTCACTTCACTCTCAACTGTGAATATTGGACATGTCGGTGGATGTGAGCCTCAACCGTAGAGGGCTTTTGCAGTATAGGCCTACAGTAATACATGTACTTGTGTAGAAGAAATGGTTGTTTGGTGGGAACAATGCCGAAAGCACCCCTCTACCAACATTTTTTTCTCAAAGAGATTACTGTTCAACATGACATTCAGCAATGCGTTTATATCATCCTCAAGTTATTTATTAGTCTTGCATTGTTTGTGTACATTACTGCACATTATCACAGAACACAAATGTATATTGAGCCTTGTAAACACTTCCAATGTAAAAAGCAGGAAAGAACTTGCTATTGTCCGTAAAAAATTGCGTTTTTGTTTTAAATGTTTTCAGGGACATGTTTGCTCTTCCTAACAAGAAAGCATTTGAAGTTGTCATGCATTTCTTGTTTGAGCGACTGAATCCACCCATGGCGCACGACAAGTTCAGGCAAGTGGTCTCATTTTGTTTGCCGCATTTACTTGGTGTCATCATTCATTCATCATCAGGCCTTAGCATTTTACTTTTGTGGCAATCGCGTTAGTCAGAGTTTTTCTCAAGATCAAATACCGTGTTCCTTGCACCGAGGATGGAGCAGAGTTTGTACCTCCAGCAGTAGCTTCTCTGCTCTCTGAGTCACTGCTCTGCGCGTCTTTTTATCAGTGTTCTTTCTGGTTTATTTAAAGGGATTGCTGGCCTATCTGCGACAAGAAGCACGAGCAAGCTTTCAGGAAGACGATAAGCAACCAGCTCTCAGAGATAGCAGCTGTATGTTTTAAAAAATGAATACATGTAATTTGTACAGTCAAAAAATTCTTAGTTTGCCTACCACACTTTCATTTGGTATGGTACAGGATGTTTGAGAACTGCATCATATTTTGACCAATGCAAAATAGTTTTAGATTAAACACTTCGTCCTGTAGGAAAGAGACTGTAGTTCTGGAATCTTTGTGGTACGAGCCTCGAGCTTGACCAAGAGAGGGCACAATTTTGCCTAGCGATGCAGGCATCTTTAGTAGGAGGTGCGCTTTGCTGATTCACAAATGGCTATGAAATACACGCATTATGGTTGTATCGCTACCAACAAAATAAGCACTCTCCATCAGCACGATCCTTTTCAACCGATGAGGGGGCGGTTCTGCTCAAGGCTTTGTCATGGCTTCATAATCTACTTTACATTCCGATCTGTGGCAGGTAGCGTACAGATTGTAGGATCGCGATTAACCTGTGAGATGGCCTTTTTTTGTCCATGGGCGTGGCACTTTACCATTGCGGGTATTTGATGTACATTGTAAAGTTGGGTTGGGTCTCAGTCAGTTGTTTGTGCCAAAATAACAACATCAGGGCTATTCCAGCCATGGGGGGGGGAATAGATGATCTTTGGAAAATTCTAGCCAACGATTGCATTTGTACCTGCAGCAAGTCAAGGAACTTTGTCATTGCGACTTACCAGAAGGATACAATTTCCTTTTGAAATGCCCGATGTCTCCCAATCAGATCAAGTGTATTTTTTTTCTGTTGCAGGAGGATCCGTTGGCTAACCTGCCTCGGATTGTACCCTCTCTGTTCATGTCGCCCGGCGGTGACAGGTTCTACTCCCTCCTGCTGCACTTCTCCCAGTACGTCCTGATGAAAGTCCTCAAGCAAGAGAACGGTAAATAGTACAATACATCCTAACTGCCTTAAGCTCTACTGAATCTGGGAAATGATTGTCCACTGCATGTAATGCAGCTTTCGTAACAGGATCATGTTTACTTTGAAATACGGAGCACTTTCTTTAAACTGTTGCATAGTCCTTTAATAGTTCAGATGATATTTTTCAATGTCATTTAATATATTTATTTTTGATTTATTTCATATATTTTTTATTACTTTGCATAAATTCCATTATTGCTGAATGAGGAAGAACTGACTGATGGATTCCTGGCCAAGGATCCTAATAGCTCATTTACAATTACACATGTACCCCTTGTTCACATCCTGCCAGATTCGATGTGATTCCATTACGCTGTGTATCAAACAGTATTAAGGGTAACTACATCCGAAAAATTGGGTCCAGTTGTGCACATTGTATAACTCTTGGAACAAAAAAATTGACTGGAGTGGGATTTGAACTCACAACCTCCAGAACACGAAACCAGTGCTCTACCAACTGAGCTCTCCAGCTCTACAGAGCACTGGTAGGGTGTTCCAGAGGTCACAGGTTCGAATCCCCCTCTTGTCATTTTCTTTGCTCATCATTATAATCATTTGTAAGCACCTTGTCAGTTTCCCTGTATAGTTTGCTTCATCATTGGAACAAAATAGATATGAAAGTGGTATTTAGCCATCCAGTGGTTGACTGCCTGGACATTTTTTTTTCAATCATGACATAGGCAAGAAGGAGAGGGAGATACTGCAGAGGCCCAGGCTGCTACCAGCCGTGTCGCACCTTAGCCATATCATGCTCAAGACCATCCAGGTTGCCACCATCAGACATCGCCGGCGGTTCCTGGACAGAGCTCAGCGCACGGTGCTACTGCACCGGGAATGGAAGCAGTTTGCCAAGTAAGGGGTTGTCAGTTTGTCGCACTCCCCCACCCTTTCCCTCCCCTAGTCACCACCATGTATTTGGCTCTCAGTACAGCACCCAACCACCACCATCCAACAGCCCCTAGGACAGTGTTGATGTCAAAGCTTGCAACAATGCTGCTGGCAAATACCCAGCATGTCTTTTATCACCTCACAACCACAGATGTTGGTAATGTACTAATTTGTGACGTTGACACTGATCAAAGCCAAACTACCACATTATAACAACATTACTTGGTACACGTTGGGTTACAGTGGGGTGCAAAATCCCTCATCCTGCAGAAAATTACTTTTGTGATACATGCATAATTTATATTACTTGTTAATACATGTAGTCGAATGCCTCACAGGCAACTGCACAACCTATCAGATCCTAGATCCAAATTATATGCTTACTGTGCTTTTATGGTGCCATGCCAATAAAAGTCAGCGGCAAAAGAACTATTAACTACTACGTGAATCATTGCCAACACTGCAAACTGACACACAGTTGTGTGTGAGTGTGCTTATTTGTGCGCATTTTAGAAAACCAAGTTATCTTTGTTTCCACAAAGTACAATGCAACAATTCAACAACAGTGCAATCAGTGCATTTTTGTTTTCAATATCTGATACTGATCTTAATTCCACCAGTTAAAAAGACTTTAAGAAATTTTTCTGTAAGGCATCAGGTGTACGAATAGATTTCATGTCGAACCATTCAAAGCATTATTCTCCATTTTACATTGCCTTAACAATCATGGATGTCAGTTTGTGAAAACAAAAATCAGTTTATTACGCGTCAGTGCCCGATGTGCGAGCGCACTACCTGATGATAGGTCATGAAACCGAAGTTGTTGGTAACACGGTCTTCACAAACCTGCCCCCACTAGGCAATGAGCACCGATTCGTGGTGTCGGTGACGGTGTAAATATGGTACTTTGGCCAGTGTTGTAGTTGAGACCACATATGACCTTCACAAGACCACACAAGGCCAACACAAGACCTCTAGTCTCAATTCAAGTCACAAGCTATTCAAATGAACTGCAACAAAAGCATTCCTTTGTCATTGCTCACCCTGTTTCTTGCGACCGGTCTTGTGCATGGTCTTGTGTTTGGTCTTGTGATGGTCTTGACTCAACTACAACACTAGAATGGCTTTCATTGATCTGTCAACACACCGTGCAGTGAACTGGTGAAGGAACACCGGAACCTGACCAAGCAGCTGCGTGACCTGGAGCACGACATCCGCGACTGCCAGGCAGCCTCCTACGACCAGGCTCAGGCCAGGGGGAGCCCCGTGACAAGGAGGCGGCGATCGGGCGGCATGACGGCCGGGGAGCGCCAGGTGCAAGCCGTGAAACGCACTCAGAAAATACAAAAGGTAAACAAACCAGGGATGTTGTACAGTGGAACACCGCTGTAACGAACACGAAGGAGTCCACGCAAAGGATTCTGTGTAGCAGTCGTTCGGTGTGAAGATTTGTTCTGAACTCTGGCCCGTTCAAATACCTGGTGGCCTGCCCCAGAAAATGTTACAGTATGAGGAATTTTGGAGTACACTCACACACACACAAAAATTCAGTTAAATATAAAAAAACCCTGAAATTCCTGCATTTTTTAAAATCTGTATTCATCTCCTGTCTCCACCGCTTAAAGAATTGCACGTGACATACAGTACAGTTGCACTCGTTTCCACTGCTATTATGGCATTTCAATGGCTATTAGGAACCATGCTAATGCAGCAGTGGAGGTGCATACGTGTCCAAAGTCGGCAACGGGATGTCAGGCGAACATTTTTGAATGCCTACTACTTTTTACCTGCTGTTTATTTGGGCGGCCAGAGTTTGCAGACGTACAGCGTACGTTCCCCTCGATTCCCCAATCATTCTCAGGTGCGTGAACTGTGGAAGGCTGTGGATGCATTCTACGTTGCCCAGTCTGCGGAGCGGGACGTGGTTACGTCCGTCTTACGAGAAGTGGAGAACAAGTACCGACTGGACGCTGGGGAGATCAACGTGCAGGTCCCCGAGATGCTGCTACGAGAGTGCCAACAGGAGCTGCAAAGGGTGGGGGATTTCTACTATAAAACAGGCAAAAGTCATTTCAGGAAACTCACCATGTCCGTGGAGGCGCATGCATTTTCGACTCTGTGTTTTGCTGTTGGCAATTTCATGTATGCCAGAATGTTGAGAGACTTTGAAGGCGCGCGCATTTCCTCGCACATCAGTTTAAATTGAACCCCGTCCTTCAAAAATCATGTGACTGAAAATCCTCTCTATGCCACACATGTGACCAAAGAGAAATTATATTGGTTGCCATGCACGTGTAGTCCATATAGGGCTACCCGATTCCCCGATGTCCGCGATTATTAATACAATTATAGCTAAAACCCAGCAATGGAGTGGTTCCATCACATCTCCGTCCCCTCTACTGCTAAACTGTTGGCATGGTTTACTTTTCCTGTGTTCAGCAACTCAAAAGTAAGTTTCACAGGCCTACTTTGCCACTTAAACTAGATTCCTTGTCATTCGTTATGAGATTCAGTGAATGAAATTGTAAATATCTTAGTGTGAACGCCATAGTTAAAAAACTTGAGTCTGTTGAGTCATTACCATGACAAAGTCAGTTGAGCGTTCACTGATGTGTTCAGGAAGGTCATTGAGCAGCCAGTAGCAAACATCCTGCAAGCAACTGTCTATAGTGGCTGGCTGGCTGGCTGTGCCATCCATCGCTTAGCCAGCTTGCTTGGCCTGCTCAGCCCCCATAGCCTGGCCTCGCCTTCTTTAAAGTTTCCTGTGTAAATCAGATAAGTGTTAGGTCATCTCAACTTGATTGTTGGAAGTTCACACTGTGAGCACAACGTGGATCGTGTAAATCCCTAGACATCAGGAAATGCCAGTAAATGGACTCAAAATTTTGTTTTTTGTTTTACTCAAATTTTTTGCCAACAATTTGTTGCCAAATAAGTGGCAGAAAAGAGCACCTTAGTTTCCAGAAATGTTAAAAACAATTTACAGAGGCATCTTCAGGTAATAAAATCAGTGAAATAGAACCAGCTTCCGTAATAAAGGATCAGGTTACAGGTAACCTGAGAAGGGCACTCACCTCACGAAATGTGACAAACTTTTACTGAAGTTTCAGGTTATAAAAATCGATAAAATGGAATTGGTTACTTGTAATGAACAGTCAGGTTCACATGTACCCAATTTAAAAAAAGAAAGAAAATTTCACTGCTTAGGCCCTTTTGTTTCAAACATCTGAATAAAGTGTCCAGGGTTTTTTTCTTCAGCGTAATGTTGGCAACACCTACGAGGGCGGCAAACTGAATCTTCTCCCCCTAATCCAGCTGTGGAACATGTCTCTTCACCTCTACTTAGAGACCATTCATCAAGGTAAAAGATGGGGATCAGACTTACCCGGTCCCCTGGACCAATCTAAACTTGAAATTATTGTTGTCAGAAAACGGCTCCGTGAGAAGCTCAAGTTACCAGCGTGCCCCTCCCGGTACTGCTGATTCCAGCATTTTCTCCGAAACAATCGGGAATGGTCCCAGCTTATAGCATGCCATCATTCATACACCATTAAACAGAGAGGCAACTTTTGATCTCCACAGTTGGCATCCTTCGTACCATTCGTGCAACAAAAGCAAACCCATATTGCACACATCCAAAACTGTGCCAAGTTGGCTGAGTGTCTGTCGGCACTCTTTGACACAAAGAGGAGAGATTGAGGCTCTTTATTCGTGATATCCTTCTCTATCTAAAGCGTTAGGGCAAATTAGTGCACACTGTCAACAAGGATGATCTGCAGGCCTAAATATACACATACAGTGTACATGTAATGGTTGTATCCTAGTCTGTACCCTGTGGTCTTGGGTGCAAGACTTGCATGCACAAACATGGTCTGCAACATGTCACAGAGCACAGAAGAAATTCCCACACCAAGTTCCTATCTTTAGCGCTTCTGGGTTGATAGTTTTTCGTATGTAGAAAAGTTTGAATATTTTGAAGGTGTGAATATGAATTTCTTCAAATATTCTTTTTCATTTAGCACCAATGCCGAGATTTGAAGACCTGTCACCTGATTTAGTGACCCAGGTTCACACCCATCATGCACACCTTTCTAACACGCAGGCCATGAGGTAAGCATTGGATTCTAACGATATGTCTATTTCTATGTCTGCCATAACGTAGGATATGGCATTTTGAACACCTGTGGGTATGCATAGGGCCCCTTGGCTTCGCCTTGGTCCCCATGTGTCCCTCTGGTTTTCCAAATGTCATATCCCACATCAAAGCAGTCAACAATTGTCTGGTGTCTCTCACAAAGTGAGGCTGTATACCCTACGCATTCATGGACATAATCACACGCCATATCCTGGATGATTGCTGCAAGACTTTAAGCACTAGAAACTGCATTTGGGCGGTTAAGGTCAGGGATAACCTTGGCCATCTTTACTACAAGGTATTGTACCAGTAGTCCTCGGGGCCTGTGCATTCTCACTGTCACACGTTTGTCCATGTTCCACACAGGTCCACCCTGACTAACAAACTCCTGCCAGATCTGAAAGCATCGGTGGATCACCTCCACAAACAGATCCAGGGGGGCAAAACGCCCAGCAGGAAAGACGCACGCAGGTCATTCCAGCACAGTGTATGTATCGGTACAGCCTCGTGGTTGTCCACACTAATCCCTGTAGGGGCCCCAAGTGAGACCAAGAGAGGGCACCATTTTCCCAGCAGTGGAAGCTCCTCAGGTGGGAAATGCACCTCGCTCGTTCACGAACGACTGCGAAATGTAAGCGGTGCGATCACGTCTCTACCTAACCAAATGAGGGGATGCTTCTGTTAAAAGCGGATAAACATCTACAGGCTTCTTTTTGAAACGTAAAGACACTCCTTATCATAACAAATGAGAAGTTTGAACTCCATCAGATGCTCTTTTTTTTTCTGTTGTGGTCATTTGGAGTTTAAGGCTACATGCACGCCAGCCTGCATGCATTGAGAACCACAGTGGAAAGAGTATACATTTTTGGCTGACCCGTCTCTGGCAAATGTGCGCTGCACAAGAACAGTACGTCCGATTTTCACAAAATTGCTGTTAAAAGGATCACAAAGAGTCACTCTCAACACTCAACTCCTGAAAAAAATGCACTGTGGCAAAGCAGGAAAAAGGTTGAGGGGGGAGGGGCAGATTTGCCTCCTCCCCCCCTCTTTTGGGTTGACTTAAAACTTTAATTAAAAGATTGAATTGATTCCATAAAACTTCTTGTGTAACATGCAGTGACCTTTGTCGATTCGCTGTTGATTCGCGCACAATTCGTACGCGTGGCAAATCACATATTGCAAGATTTGTGATAAGTTCCCATGCCATGTTTATTTAATCGTTCAGTCACTTGGTCTGGCTCTGCTGCCCCCAACGCCACCAGTCTCTTTCGAGCCAGCTTCAGGATCGCAGACTGAAACTCCCATCAAGCTGTCAGCAGGAGGCACACTGAAGAACAACACGTCAACTGGTAAGGAGTCTGTGTTCACATGGCTGCTGCTGCCAAAATGGTTCAGACAATACAGGCAAAAACCTCCCCTTTTCTCACTAGTAGTTTTGCAAATGTTTGAATCCTGTGTAATAACTGTTGCGAGAAAGGCTGTAAAACTGCCCCTGTAATTCGGTATTTTTTGTCACAAGAATTTGTATTTCTTCCGGCACCATTATGATCAGAGCACTCTAATTGAAGCAATGCATGTTAAGCACAAGTTCTTCTCAGTCACTGTCGAATGAAATGGGGCTGTGCCAAGTATCCCAATATCTGAATATTCAATTGATTATTGAATCTTATAATAGGATTTCCCGAAGTTAAATATTCGAATGCAAAATTCACGGAGAGGAAGGAAGAATTTTTTTTTTTTTAACGAGAAAAAGTGCAGTACGAAGGTTTGTTACAAGCAGATTCAAATGAGTTCGGTTTTACAACATCACGTGGACAAAATGAAATGCACAGTAAATCATTGAGGATAATCAATGTATGCCCAGGAGAGAGGCCCTGCTAGTGTGGCTGCAATTTTGAAATACCGAATGGGCTCATTTCGCATGGTTTTTCTCCCAGATACCCCAGAGGCCGTGTCCATGCTGAGTGATACGATCAACAAGGCGGCCCTGAAGCGTGCGGGTCTGGTACAGGGAACGCCCACCAGCACACTAGGGGAACTCAGGAGGCAAACCCAGGGGTGAGGCTCAATAAACTGTCGTGTTCTGATGTGGTGGGTTAATTGTGTTTGAGGTTTTCTGGGCGAATTGCCACAGGTTCCGAGTTTGAATCCAAACTGAGGTTTTGCACAGCTTGAGTAGGCAATACTCTTTGTCACTACCTGACCGCTGTCGTGAATATTACCTACCAGTCCTATGAGTTGCCAAAGTTTGCAGAAATATTATTCTCTATTGGTATCTGATTTTACCTCAAAATGCACATTTGCCCATCCATTGTTAAAGAGGGCCCCATTTTCATGTAGCAATGTTTTTTGTTTGGTGTTCCGATAGCTGTGTGAGATTTTTTGACACTCTGGGAACAATTTCGGTTTGTACTTACAGCCATAGTTTCATCAGCCTCTGATTGGCAAACACTTCCAAGTATGACTTACTCAAGGTGGATCCCATTGCTTCGTCAAGGCTTACACGGGTACCTGTGACGACAGAGATGTGACTCCGCCTTCCAAAAAGAAGGAAACCAAATGGCAATAAGAAATACATTTAAAAGGAAATCACAATAAAGGCACAATCACAGCTGTGATAAATACTCGTGAAGTATTAGATAACGAGGTAAAAACCAGGAATGAAAATGTAGACCAGTACAAACATGTCTAAAAAAGGCTGTACTCTTGCAGGGTGTGCCCAGCAACGGCAGAAGCCATTCTGTCGGTAGTTCAAAACAATCCACTTACGAAAGTTGTGTTTACAATAGCTGTTGCAATAAACCAAGCAGTACAGGGTACCGTCCGTGTTGGTTGGCGGTCTCAGACTCCAGTCTCTCCATAGCACAATTTTTTTGCATTGGTGACAGCGAGTTTGATGTGGTGTCCATCATCCTACCTCTCTGGACTCGTTCCAAATTTATTTCCACTAGTTTATTAACAGAAAATGTTTTTGCATTCGTGTGATGCCCACCCAGCCAACATTTCAGCCTTAACCTGGCATTGTCCTACTTAAGTTTTACTTCGCTGTCCTCTTTTGCCCTACTTTATTCTCCTCCAGAACGTCTAAGCTGCCCCTCCCAACGGGAACAGTCATCCCTGAGAGCATGCAGAATCGCAAGAGGGTGAAATCAGCGCCCTCCAAAGTGGCCCCATCGGCCACTCCCTCCACCCAGACCCACCCCTGGCACCCAAACCTCTCAGGGACGCCTCACCAAGGAGCACGGGCACCCAGCAGCACCCAGAGGAGGAGGGGGGTGAACGGGGACCTGGCCAAGGTGCCCAAGACTCAGCCCAGGAAGGGTGCCGGGAGCAGGCTGGGCAGGGAATCCAAGGAAGGAAAGAAGGAGCTCAAGACAGTGGAGAAACTCAGCATGCATAAGGCATCATCCAAACTGAAAGTAAGCTTTGATTAAACAGTGAATCCACCACAAACTTTGTTTCCACAGATCGACTGATTTCTTTTGTCTGAGTTACGGTCCATTGGCCAACAAAGCTTGACAGGACCCCTGAGCTATGCCTGATATAAAGCAGTCACTGTTATTGACATTGTTTTGAGGACAAATGTGCTAAAAGCTGTTGATTGATTGGTTGACAGGCAGCAATTTTCGAATAGAGACCCAAAATACATGGCTGCTGATTAGTCAAAAACCTAGAGGTCTGCACTCAATAGGAGGTTGTTCTATAATGAATCACCGGATATGCTCAGATGCCATGGATGAGAAGAAGCAGCTATCCTATAGACAAGTAGTTTTCCTTCGTCTCTCACTCTGTCTTTAGTTTAAGCTTTGTGCCTGGCAGCCATCTTGAAAGGTTGTCTTTTTTTGTTGTTTTAATGTAACACCTGCATATATTGTTTGTTGTATTTATGGGTCTCGAGCTGTAAGTTCCGATGCAACTCCACGTTCTAGCTCTTGGTATTAACAGAGGGTTTAGAAGACCATGGGTAGGAGGGTTATTTCTTAAACAGTGGGTGAACATGCATTTATGTCTTGAGGCAAGTTCTCTTCGCATCTAATAACCTTCAACTGCAGGTGGATTGTACATGGTGCCAAGAATATTCATGCATTTTGTATATACATACATGTCACTAGCAGCATTGATCAGTGATGGTAAATTGTCGGCTGATCAAACTTGGCCCCAGTTTAACAGATATGCTGCTCTCTTCTTGGCTGCTGTGAATTAGGCCTAGCTACATGTATTAACAAAAGGAAGAGTCATCTTGACTTTCGAAGGCTTTCATATTCTGTGATTACCAGGTTGAATGTCCAATTCAAGTCTGCTCTGAAGCTATTCTCTCTTTGCGTTTCCAGAAATCTGCTGCAAAGGTCGCAGCACCATCGTCCGTTCAGAGAACACCTGCAGGTGCACCCAAGCCGGCTGCTGCGTCCAGTGCCATGAGGTCCAAAACTGCACCCCGGGCTCATCAGATACTGGCGGAGGAGGTGGGCAAAGTTCACCGAAGGGCGTCTGATCTCTTTTTCCTTGCACATTCATATTTGTTTGTCTCGAGGTTTTGGCATGCCCTCCAAATGATTTTATCTGCTCACAGTAGATTATGTCTAACTCTAAGAAGCAGCTTGAAATGTACTCCTAACATGCCTAACAACAAAAATGCAGTACACTTCCACAGATGTATGTAAAACAGTACACCACTTTTGACTTATACATTGCATATACACATGTATTTATGGCACAGAGGGATCTTATTGGTCTTTGTACCAACTCCTGCTCAATCAGTAGTCTGTTTTACTTCTTTCTAAGAAATTAAAAGACTGTGTATTGCTCCTTGACTTTCATCTATGCAACATTAGAAGTCTGGAGTCTTGTTGTGGGTGGTACTGTGCTAAAACGTTCATGATAGATGTATTGCTAACTCAGCAATATCAACATGTATTTAGAATAGTACAGAGGCATCGTAATTGCCTACCTTTTTCAACACTTTGCAATGAAGCAGACTACATACCTCATGTGAATGATGCATGTACGCATCGGCTACTTCCTACTTCACATTGGACCAAAGTCAAATCAGCCAACATCCTATGTCCAGTAATTTGCACTATTCTCTATACACAATAAGTGTACAGTAAAACTGTCTACCCTTGCGATCTGTGGAATGTTTTCTCGACGTGACACACCACTCAGACATGAGCTTACAGATTCTTTCCCTGGGCCCCTTGGGTGAGATTCGTCAGAATTCTTCAAACCGCTGCTTTTAAAATCTCGAATACCCTTAGTTTACAATAAAGGTCTTTTTACTTGCAAAATTGATGTACATGCAGAGCACAAGAGATAGGTATTTTAAGGACTGCCTTAAGGCAGACACAAATGTATACCATAGACCCATTGCTGCTGGGAGGCCCTCAAAATCTCTGGTGATTATTTCATGGATATTTTATCCTAATCAGATGTATAATAGCAAGCTCAAGCATTGGGTGGGCCTAGTTTAGAGATTTCAGATGGATAAAGTTAGATCTCAGTATCCTGTCTTTTTGTGGTTGATTGTACAGATTGCTGATGCTGTGACATCAGGAGGGAAGATCACACCTGACTTCCTGGAATTGTTGAGGACGCAGTCCCGCGAGAATTCCCCACTGGACGCAGCTCTTGACAACCCGTTGGCAGGATTAGGTGAGCGATGTGCCTTGAAATCTCCAAAACTCCCTGACTGTAGCTGCAAAATCAGTGTCCTCATAACACTAAATGCTTAAAAAACGCAAATTGAAAGTAGATATTCGCAAAGAGTTTCATTTCTGGCCAGTCATTGCCTTGCTGTACATAGTGGATTGGTCTAGTCAGGGTTTCAGCAGTCAGTCATCACTTACAGCCCAGTGGCTCATGCCAGTTTGAAAGGAACTGTTTCCCCTTACTGCCTGGCTCCATGGGTAAACGCTTAACAATATAGCCCAGCAGCTAATCATGGGTACTGCTGGGTAAACTAAAGCTGTCTTTCATAGAGAATGTTAAAGCAATCTGGTCATTCCTCCACAGTTGACCGAAAGGGAACCTGTCTAGATAACAAAAAAGTCAACTGTACATGGGTGAATGGCATTCCTCAATGACCAGAGACCAATGAAAAGCTAATTTGACAAAAAATCATTGATAACTTTTGACTTCAGTTTCCCTTAAACATGAAACTAAAGATGTCCAATTTAAAGGGAAAATGCCTGATTGTCTTCCCCCACCCGCCCAGACCAGTTCCCCCATTCCCAATCTAATTGGGAATGGGAGAACCTAATTCACCCTCTGGGAAGATTTATCCACACAAACACACTGTGTAGGAACAAATGACTTAAAGTTTACGTTCGACAGGATATGATGAATATTGAATCGGTCTGGTCTTTCAGATCAAGATGCCTTTGTTAGCAAGGACAAGCTGAAGAGAACACCAGTCTCCGAAGCCAGTAGTCTTAGCACCTCACAGATGACATACACCCCTCATCAGACCATGCCAACAAGAACTCTATTTGATTCAGACTCCAGTCCTAAAGAACCTTCTGTCCTGAATGAGGTATCTCCAGTTGACGATGATAGTCTGTTGTCACACGAGTTGGCGGATGGCACTCCATTGCGAGAGAGCCAGGACCTGACATCCAGCGTAGCTGTGGGGAACCTCCTTGACTTAGAGGAGCCAGAACATCTAGAAGGCACTGTCCCTCCTGCAAGGAATCTCCTGAGTGGCATTGATGATGCTGAGGCATCCCCAGGGGCTAGGTTGAGCTACCAGGAGCTGGCTGCCATGGGAGATGACTCCTCTTTGCCTGAGACCAGGCCAGAGTTCTCAGAGGACCTGGAGCAGACACTGGCCGAAATCTTCCAGACCAGAACTCCGCAGCTGTCCATCAGATCCAAAACCAGGATCGCCGCTCGCAAGCATGGGGCCTCACTCTTCAGTTGGAAGGAGGAATATGAAACAAAGACATCCGTACCTGGAACTCCATCACTAGCCAGCAGGAAAGCAGGCCCTGCAGAAGGTCTGACCCCAGACCTGAACTTGTTAAGGCAAGACAGGATAAGAAGGCAAACTGAAAGTACTAGATCCCACCCAGAGCAAGAGCCTGTACATGTTTCACAGCAGGGCAGAAGTCAAGCTGATGTCAGCATAAGCAAAGTGCGGCAAGTCAGTGGTGGGTCACAGAAGAGTGTTACGTTCTGCGATCGGGTCGATGAGCACAGCTTCCTGGACCAAAGCCTGGCCAGTCTCGACCAGTCAAATGCTGACACCACATCGAGACAGGAATACAGTCTGCAGGGAAGCCCTAGTGACAAGCCAGGAAGTGATGAGTCCGCTCAGGAACCACCAGGCAGTGCACCAAGGAGCAAGACTCCAGAAACTCCAGGACATGATGCTAGCACTTTCCTGAGCGACGTCTACTTGGCACACTCACCTCCGCCAGCTAACAGGCCCAGTGAGGCACTCTTCATGAGCCCCCTGGAAGGCCAGCTGCTGTCAGACTCTGACTTGGGCCCAGACCTGTCCATGAACCTCTCCACTGCCATTGATGACCTGCTAGTGCCCATCTCCCCTGATGTCACACCATCCAGGACCCCCAAACTGACGTCTCGTCAGTTATCAGCTAATTCAACACAGCCTTCTGCAAGGGAGAAGACTCCACCATCCTCACACATATCCGAACATCCTTCCTTTGTTGAGTCGGTGCCACATCTTGTGGACGACATCATTGGCCTAAAATCTGGGACTTCTCTCATAGAAGATTTCTCCAAGTTGCACCTGTCTAGAACAGCACCTGTGACCCCAAACCATAAATCTGTGGAAACGCCTATGAACTTTGATCTGTTAGGTAAGTACTTGTCAGCTTTTTTCAATATACATTTTAGTCTTAAATTTTAGTACTGAATGATAGGTGACTGACCTGCAGTGAACTTTTGGGGACTCAAAAGGACTTTAAAACACAACACTATGTAGCACTCTGAAGCAACTCATGACCTTTCCTGAAATAGCCATCATTCATAATATGTTGCTGCATTTGATGGTTTATTGTGAAGGTATTCTCCCACCAGAAGTCAGATTGTTACATCATTAAGGTTTGGACTTTGATTAGAATACAACTGTTGTTGCACAAAATATACAAAATGGAGATCAAACCACATTTTTGAAAACTGAGCAATTTTTCAAAAATACCTCGCTGAGACAGCTCGTTCTGACCAGTCAGCAGTGTCGCCATGTGCGAAGTCAAAGACAGACTGCTGACTAGCGTGTACACCTGTGCATCATACCTTTAGTGTTTTCGTGGGGATGCTACTTTTATTGTGGAGAGTCAGTAACATTTACATTTTGAACTGAGTTGGTTTTCGCCTTGTGTGTATTTTATGTATGATGTGTTGAGGCATAGCACTTTTCTTCAGCACCCTCCAATGGGCAGCAGACATAGCCTTGCTGGCTGTTTATCTTAGAGGAGTGCATTTCTCAATCGTTGCTTTTGATCCAAATCCAGACGAGGATGACTCCATCCTACTGCCGACCTCCCCAGCTCTGAGGCAGGGAGTCCTGGTGGACGTCTCTTCACCGTCGCCCTGAATGCAGCACTTGGCAGCTAAGAGAGACCAGCACAACCAAAGAGGTTTCTGGCATGTGAGCCGTATTGCAAATTGAGACTTTGACTGTGATGCAACTCTGAAGACTTGGGTGTGTGAAGCAAACGGTTTCGTTCCAGCAACGACACTGTGAGGGCTGTTCTCTATGCAACATACACCATTCTCTGTTATCATCACTTGACAGAAATAGGGACTACCTGTGAAACAGTTGGCCTACTGTAGGATACAGATATTGAGTGCTTCATATCAGAGTGGAAAGGGAGAATCATTATCACAAGGTGAAATCTGGACGTCGAGGTGAAGCCGACTGAAATGAAAAGTCCGGATTTTAATTTGTGATAATATACCTCCCATGTCACAGTTTACAGCCACTCGCTATTTGGTTGATACAACTGACCTTCAGATCCACGTCTGCTGCATTGACTAAGTCCAATATGTCCAAAACTGACACGAAAATTGGCGCATCTGTTAACGTCAACTCCATGACTGTATGCTTTTGTCACCAAGCAGCACAAATCAGGTCACAACCACCTCCCCAGGTTTTGGTCAACAACGCTCTGCTGCTCAAATTAGTGACAGTAAACTATTCAACAAACATAGTAACAATGACTTTCCTAAGTGTTGAATAGTAAATCCCATTCAAAATGGGAAGACAAGACTTTTTGAGCCCTGGTCTGAATGGCAGCAATGCTGAAGGTCACATGATGTGAGGTCCACCAATCAAATGACAAGGATCTCAGTGTCAGTTATGGATTCAATTCTTTTAATGTATAGCTGTACTATCAGGTGCTTCAAATTAGTGCAGGGGACATCTGACAAGTGGAAACACATCCTTTCAAAGTGTATACATTGCATGTAAAACATTTAAAATGTCTGGAATAGACTCTCTGAACTGCAGAGGGTACCTATGCTTTTAGTCATAAGGCCATCATGCCCGTCGTGTTGTTGCACAATTGCAGTTTATGTTTCGCTGCTGAGCTGGATAAAAATGCACGGCAAACAGCAAACATTTGCACAGATGTAGAGTGAGTGAGAGGCTGTCTTTACCAGTGGGTGATCTCCAAAGCACACTTTTTCTACCCGTTGGAGATAATTCACAGCACTGTGCACCCAACGCCTGGTGCCCATGCAGAGACAGTACATTCCAACAGAAATTGGTCCCAGATGACCCATGCCAAATGTTCACACATGTAAACCTGCGCACGCATGCTGTGCCTCCCCACACACACTTACCTTACCTACAGGGGTACCTGTACCTTGCCTGGACATTCCTTTGTTTTTGTGTAATGAATAAAACTTTTTGAAAGTGCTCATTTTTCTGGCAACAAAAACTATCTTTTGAGCTAGAGGTTGTTGGTCATTTCCTTGATTGTTCTTTTCTTTTCAACACAGCTACTACAAAAGTGCCCACAGCCTCTGAAACTGTTTTCCCAGAGATGGGATGTAAACCTTGTGTGGACCTGGCTTAAACGTCCACACAAGGTTTGCACAGCTGGCATGATGGGGACCTCTTTTGTTGACGGGTCCACACTAGGTACATGTATGATAAGGTTTGCATACTCAAACAGCACATTTGCTATGTAAAAACATGCCATCTCTCTTTTAGGCCTAGTTCCCTCCAGGGTTGAGTTTTTACCCTTAAAAAGTAGTGGACCATGTTAAAGATTGTAAGATTCAGGCTAATGTGAAAGGGTGGCCGAAATCATGGAGATTGAAGTGGTCCCCAAGTAGCGCAGTTTGACTCACATGTCAACGATACCCAGATTCTTGATGAAACCAGTTGCTGTGCCCACTACTTGATTTCTGCCCAATCATTCTGGGATGAAATGATTGTCAACCTAAGAAGTTAAGGGCCATCCATGAAGTACGTACGCACTGCGTACAGAGTGGTTCAAGCCAGTGCGTACCGTACGCAAAACGAAAATCTGCCTTTAATGAATCTTCATCTTATCAATGCACTTTCTCATACAAATAAATACCAGAATCAGCTTTTGTGCATCTAAAAACCAGTCAACCACAGTAAAAGTCGACAACTGATGACTTTTTTATAATTATTACTCTGATGCGTACCGTATGTGTAGGGGGGGTTGGAACCACTGTGTACACCATATGTATGGGGAGGGGGCATTTCGTGCGTACGCGCTTTATGGATGGCCCCTTACTGGGAGGACTCCTCCCAGTAAATAAGTAGCATTAATGCTGAAATATTGTAGGCATTTAATAAGTGACTTAGTCATGAGTGCTGTATGCCTTTGATTTGTTGATTGTACATTGCACTGGAAACATTTGCACTTCATGTTAGAAAATAAATCTTTCCAAAATGAAAGTTCTTAATGTTATAATGTAAATTTTTGGTAGAAATTTTGCTGCAAGGGAAAGAGAAATGCCAGTGGGTATTTGTGCCTAGTACAGTTCAGTCGCTATATTTTATTTAATCAGTCTCGGCACCATTAATGAACTGAATGTAGAAGTAAGCAATAAAGATTGTGAGTGATTTTTAAATCAAGCTTCAACACTCAGAGTGTACTGCCTGCCTTGCACCTTTTTACAGCAACCTATTGTTACAAAAATTCAATTACTATGCAAATATTTGGACTTAAATAATGTGTTAACTAAGCAGATTTAGAAAGAACTTTAACTTTTTCGGAGATGTTTGTCTCAATTCAGCCAATGCACCCATGTAAATTTCTAGTTTTGTGTGACAGCTAATTAAAATTAAGCAATAACTTTTAATCTAAGCTTCCCATAAGAATCAAGTTGCCTTAGACCTTCCAAACATGTCCAAGTAAACAATGTCTCAGAGAGGAGTTTCATTCTAAGCATTTTTGTCTGAAGAAATCTTTATGTCAAGACAAAATTTACCGTAAAGATTCTCAGACTGATTTTGATATAATTTGACACAGTCCATGAAAAATCTTCCCATCAGAGGTTCCCGCCATCTTTTTCTAGAACTTGATTTTTTTTGTTGGCAACCCCCCCACATCAAGAGTTATGACCTGATGAAAGTTACTTTTAGAAACGGCTGTCATGTAGAAACATTACATTTCAAAGCCAGTTTCTTAATTAAAATCGAATTCAAAGCCAGTTTCTAAATATTGAACACCAAGTCAAGGAATTTCACAGATCAGATATTTTGAGAGATATTGTTCAGATGCAGAAGCAAATTTTGTGTACAGTTGGGATGAAATGAGCAAAATGTGTTCCCTGTAAATATATTTTTGAAAGGTGAGAGTGCTTTTTAGAGTGATTTTGCTGCTATGTATCCTAGTAACAATTTTCAAATTGTAACGCGCAGTTTGCCTCTGACAGAAATCCCATGAAATCATTGGCGTGCTAAATAAACTCCTCAGTGCTTGCAGTAGTAATGAGTTTTTCAACATGGTGTCTTTAAATATTTCATATTCTCCAGCAGTGATAAATTTATGCATATGCAGGTATATGTACATGTACTTGAATGTATGAACTAAAGCAGCAATAAGGTTGCAGTTACCATAGCAGCCAGGCCAAGCAACCACGAAGATGCAGCTCTCCAATTGGCCGCATTGCAGAGGTCGGATTCGCAGCAGGAGAAGCAGGCTCCGGTGCCAAAGGTCAAGAAACAGTCATCCTCACACCTTGGAACACATGACCGGTCAACGTATATCTTCTCGTCCATGTGATATGTTGTTTTAGTCTGTGCAAATGTTTAAAAAATAATCAATTGAGCTTATATCTCTGTTAAATTTACGGAAATGCTTTACATACAGCTAAGCTTATTCGTGAGACTGGTAAAATCGGCTGAGGAGAGTCGCCAGCCATGGTTCTGGCGGTTTTAACAGTTCTCTTTTGCAGATGTATTCTGCCTGTCAATGGTAGACCAATAAACTGTGCTTAGTCACTGAGTATCATGCTCACAAATGTCAGATTTCTGGCTTCTTAAAACTCGCAGTGGTTTCATATGATCACGGCTTTGGTCGCCAAGTCTTATGCTTTACTACAACAGCTTACTTGCGGTCCAAAAGCGGTATTTTCCTCGGTAAATTCAGCCAGCTTTCTAACACTGCGTCCGAAACTTTCTTCCAGAGCTGAAGCTCCTGTAGTTAGTGTGCCTGTGTGTCTTCAATTCGTACAAACCTACAATACATCGAGCTTGAGACGGACGCAGCCCCAGCCTTTCCTGTTAACGAGCTTTGGAGCGGTTCTCGTTGCCGCTTAGAACCTGTTGAGCATGTGATAATCTAAATGAAACCTTCGGAACCCAAGCCCGTTCAGACACAGGGGCCTCGTTTTACCTGACAAACACCGTCGCACGTCGTTTTGTTGGTCGTTTGAGACAAGTCAAGCACTTCGCCGCATTTGTTGACGTCCACTACGTCATCGCAGCGCGATCCGCAGAGTGGAGACAGCGCGATGATACCGTGGCACGAATAACACTCAATGCCTGGTGGGGAAAGTAGCATGAAAAATAATGCCGAGTCGAAGGGCAGTGTCTGTGAAGCAGGAATTTGTTTTTCTCTTCATTGAGTCGATTACAACTTTGAAAAGAATGCATGCTGTGTTTGCTAAGAGGAATCCAAGAAGAGAAAACGGGGAAGTGGTATTTAGTCAGGCTTCCGATGAATTTATAAAAAATAAATTTCTAAATCAGTTTCTAAATTACATACATTGTGTACAGTACCCGGTGTCATACTTTGGACTCGGAACTTACGGACTTATGACTCGGCAGTTGAGGCAAGAAAATCAGTACAGAATTCCACAGTGTTGAGACCAGTCCACAAAACAGATACAGCGAGCAATTTGCATGGTGTTCTGAATACAAATGTCTACCCGCGTTTGGAATTTAAGCAAAAGCTGCACCATGTTCTTTTTACCTGATACAACTGCATATGAGGGCGAGAGAAAGCCAGCTAGGCCGACTGTTAGCAAAAACAGCAACATGTTGATCCCGATCAGACGCTACCGAGACCTCTACGATTCTCGTCTAGGCCTTTCTGCAGTTTGTGGAGACAACGAAGAGAGCCTGTTTGCCTGCCTGCCTGCCTCTTGAAATGCATTTTTTTCATTACAGATTTCTTTCTTTTTTACAAGTTTAAGCGAATTCCATAAGTCCCAACTCTTCTTTATCGCTCTTACCTAATTTTACGCCGTTGTCAACATGTCAACTTCAAGCTGGACAAACCAATACGACCTTTAAAGCGGAACTGTGACAAGTTTTTGTCACTTATTTTCTACCCACTTGCATGGTTTATTTTCCCCTTTTTGTACAACCGCATCAGCTGTGCAAAAAAATGATTCTATTTCAGAAAACGCAGGGAACTTTTGCGCTCGCGTCTGACGCGCAGATGGGGACGCGCAGTACATAGTGCTAATCAAAGGTGTCCCTTTTTGAAAGCACATCCCTCCTTCAAAAAGATACACATTTTAGCACATGACTAAATTTTACAGCAAGCCTTCGTAACGTTCTTATTAGTTTCAGGAGACTACGCCAAGACAGTCTCAGCAGACTCAGAACTGAATCTGCTTGCCCTGACGAAGGTACCGAGTTACCGAAAGCTGTCGGCAATTACACAGTTCAGAGCACTGATTATATAGCCCCCCCCCCATTATATCTTTGTCTTTATTCTGATCTACGATTCATATTTCTCACGCCAAGACTGTTTATTGTGCAAGTCTGCGTAAAGCAGTAACGCTGTTCTTGGAGGAAACCTAATTAAAACCTAATAAAAACCTAATTAATGTCATTCCTTTACTTGGAGCTCTCGCCAATATGCTAACGATAAGACTGTTGGTGAATTTCCATAAAGCTATGTGCATTTCAGATAACCCTGATTTCAGACAGGCGTTCTATTATCGCTGATCCAAAATCCAAGGCGAGATAAGTTTGACGTCTGACACAATATTAGGAGCAACTGGGTTCGCCTACAAGCGAAAGATTGTCACTTGGAGCCGTTTAGAACAACTCAGGAGTTTCTGACGTCGCTCTGCTAAAGCCGAACTCGGTGGACTAATGACCTTATGACATATCCCAAAATCCATGCAGACAAAATTTTGTGAAAATATGATACTAAGTAAATGATCTACAGAATCTTGCATTTCTATGATGATACGTGTGGAGACGGTATAGCTTCTGTTCTTACTATAAAAAGACAACACTTTCTAGAGCATGTGTGCTTGATAGATAGAGCATGCGTGCTGAACGCACGTGCGCGTAAACGGCCGGCTCCCATAATTTCGTTGAGCGCCCTCTTCCGGTGTGTTTATTTTGCAAAACTTTCTGCGAATGACAACGCACGATTTGACAGAGGAATTCGTTCAAGAAATCTGCTTTTCAGTGTTCGTGCTCTTTTTGGTGTAAAATTGTACCGAAGGAAGCTCCAGTCCCTTCGTGTTTGGTTGCGGGAGCAGTTAAATCTACAGGTCGCTTGAAAATAGAACAGATGTTGGCCTAGCTCAGCATAATGTCTTCGATGATCCTTGTAACGTCAGTTTTTATTCTCGTGTTAATGGCGTCACGTACGTGCACTTTGGCTGCACAAAACAGCACGGGTAAGTTAGGTGGCTGGCCGCACTCTTATCATTATGCCAGTTCAGCCTGAAGTGAGAGTTACTTTTCTTTCATTTATAGCTTGTGACCTGCATGAGATTATGACTGTATAATTATCAAAAGACCGATAGCCACAATTGCTGTTTTTTTTAAACGCCAGCTGGTAAACACTCATTGGGTACCACCTACCTTTGGAACGAGCCTGTTTAGTGCTAAGCTCGGTCGGTCCGCCTCATTATCGTCCTGTGCTGAGATTTTTGCAAAGTCCTCTCAGAAATCACCAAAGATGGCGATCAAGACTCGATGTGTTTTTTTTCCAACATGACCATGTGGCTATTCCCTACTTAACTCTTTTGCCAAGTGTGGGATGCATGACAAGACAAAATCTGAATTCCTACAATAAAGGGATTATCAATTTGAATTGTAAAATACATGTGTATTTGGACAGTTGATATCAGTTGATTATATGCAGTCAGAATTCAACCCTATATACCGTTATTTTGCTTCCCGTAAAGGTTTAGAGTGTTACCAATGTCATGGAGTCATGGGGGAAGTCACTGACTGTGGAGTCAATCTTCATCCTGATGACACCCTCAACACGACAAGATGTGCCCACAGCTGTGCTGTGAGTAACGGTAGAGGCAACTAGGCCAGTGTATGGGGTATTAAATTGGGGTGAAATGCCTGAGGGAGATCCTGGAGGGATGCATACAGTTTTTCAAGATGAACATAGATGCTTTGCGTGGTAGCCATCTTGCATGGCAGTTCTGTTGTGTTTTTTTTTCCATGGGGGAAGCCTCCTTGCTGCATACCCTGTGGAACAGAAGCATTAGCCTGCAAGATGGCAGCCATACAAACCCTCTGCTGTGGGAGATTTGCTGAAACATCATGGATTAGATAATGTTTTTTTGTGAGTTTGAGTGGTTCTGAGAATTCGAAGAATCGGCTGCTTGAACCAGCTCTTTGAACCAGTCGTGGTTCTGAAAACATCAAGTGCTTCTCAGAGCCGCACTACTCACAAAAGACAGGAGCTCTCATCAGTGGTGTATCTAGGGGGGGGAGGAGCAACGTGCCCCCTGACAATTTTTGTTTTTCAAAAAGAATACTTTATAGGTGAGAAGGAAAGAAAGTAATCTGCATAATTTTATTGATCAATATTTGCACCAAAACCCTGAGAAAACAACACCAGCAAATAAAAGCAAGGTTGTCGAGACCTGCACCGAAAACTGGATACCCCACTGGCTCTCGTGGACTTCTGCAACCTTCTGTACATCATGCGTCTCAAAATGCACCCTGAGCAAAGCTCACAGTTCCTATCAGAGGATGGGAGTTCACGTAACTCATGTTAATTCCCAACGGATGACTCTGTGTTGATTTCTCTTGGAATTTCATCTAGAATAATAGGGTTGGGGTTTCTGTTCTCTGTGACCCGCAGAAGATCGTCACCTACATGATTGATCAGAAAATTGCCATAACCAGAGACTGCGTTGAGCAGTGCGAGGATGGGTGCGTCAAGGACATTGCCAGCCATTGCTACTACTGCTGTAACACAACATTGTGTAACGGTTCTGCAGGACTGCACGATCCCACACCAAGTCTGGGCCTACAACTTTGCATCAGCCTCATGCTTGTTACATGTCCGTTTGTATTCCTGACTTAACTACAAAATTAGTGTGCAAGATATCAAGGGATGGGGCGATGTTTAGACACCTAAACTTTAATTTTCTTTCAAGGAGTTCCTGAAAAATTAATGTCACATTTCCCGCCTTTGCATTGACAAACATTATGTCCACGAGACACAAGGCGTTTGAAGGCTGTTTCATTAATGTTGAAATTTGAAAGAGCGTAATTGTCAAATGTTTGTTTTGATAAATTTAATAGGTATTTTCCATTACTTTGTCAAGGTTGATGATGAGCCTCAATCTCTGGTATTTAGTAGTAGGTTGGTTCACAGAACAATGACAGAAAAAAAAGGAAATGCAACCAAAAACTTGTAAAGGTCTGTAAAGCCTGATATATTTATACTAGCTTATGTTGTGTATGCACTATTTACTGGTGACTGTTGACATCCGATCTGATATCTGATCTGGTCTGTTTGTTAGCAACTAGCTGTGACTTCATCCAGTTTTTTTCGAAACTAATATCAATTAAATTGATGCTTGTTTGACAAGGTTGGTTGGAGGGTTAAGATACAACAGACTTTGCTGAAATCTTTCAATAACTCTGAAGCAATTGTCTCTTCATTGCGATTACATTGCATGTAGTTCTGTTAGTTGCCTATCCCCAGCCTAACCCTGACCGTCTGGTTCTTGTGACTGTTTTTAAGGACCGGTGTCTGGCGAGTTTTGTACTATCCAGCTTGAAAATAAGAATCGTTCTAACGCTACACGCAAGGGCAGGGGGGCATGCATGAAACCAAAAAGAAGCTAATTGTTGTGGTTGTTGAAAATCAACGGGAGAAAGGTAATTTAAAGTAAATTGGGGGGGGCTATTTTTTGTTTCCTTTTTTCAAAGCATACCCCCAGAAAGGCCGTAAAAGGTAAATTTCACCCTCCCCCCAAAGAAAAACAAAACAAATTAGTTTTTAATCCGCCCTTTGGCTCTGGCTGTTGGCCGGATGGTGCCCCGAGGAAGGAGACTATAGTGATTCCGAAAGTAACCTTCCCCACTTGAAGAAAAAAAAGGTAGCCTAGAGGGGGCGGGGGAATCTTGTCACCCGGGGTCCGGTCCCGGCTTCCATGAGGGATGTGAAATGAGTTGGAAGCGCCGGCAACAGTGTCAAACGGTAATAACACCTTAATTCTGGGTGTTAGGGGTGAGGATTATTCTTTTATCTGATAAAAAAAATGGACAAACCTTTCACAAAAATGCCCATGTTTGGTCCCCACCCCTTCCTCGCCGACAAAAAACTGGATCTGCCACCGACGAAAGGAGCAACGAAAGACGGATGCAGTACTGCAATACAATTTTCTGCATTCATGAAATACGATCCCTCCGTAAATGAACTTAGATCAGTTTTTGGATAATATAATTATTATAATTAATTATAATTAATTATTATAATTATTAAATTCCACGCATTAAATTTTTGTTTTGTTTCCTCTGGGAGTGCTTACACAAAAGTTGGGTAGAATTATTGTAATCTGCTCCTACGTCCCTTATGAGCAGTCTTTTTTTTTTTTTTTACAACTAAACTGAGCTGGTAACAAAGTGGCCCTAGTGCTCTACAGTTTCCCTCTTTCTTTTCGTTCAAGGCGGGGGTGGGGACTTGCCACCCCCCCAACACACAAAACCCCATTCCCCGCCCCAGGCTCCTGAGCAGGATCGCATCTCTTCAACGCGCCCGGGCCTTTGCCAGGTTTTTGTTTCTAATTAACGTTCTTTCTCTGAGGTTAACTTTCCAAAACGTTTAGGCTGTGAGTTCACTGGTCAATATAGGAATATACTGCATCGTGGCCATATAAAATTATCATTAATTTGTTTATTATCTATTTTCACCGTTCAGATCTGCATGGTTTTTTTCTTTCACCGCAGTGGGGTACCGCTTTATGAAGTGATGTGTCTTTGCGAATTGCCGACAGACGGTCGGCGAATTTCACGAATGTGTTTGTACTGAGCAGTCCGATTCCCCCAACCGTTGACACTTGCATCGAGATGTTATCTGAAACTCTTTTTCCATGCGTAGCTAGTTCCCTGCAAAGTGCTAGTATACCGTTTCTAAAGTGTTTGCATTTTCAATTCTAAATTGTTAAAGGTCCACTCTGTGCCCCCCCCCCCCGACACGATGCGCCACTGCCAAAGGTCCCGACCCACTCTCAAATTCACAAATTTCACCCCAGTGTGCCGCAGTACACACGGCGTCGCTCGAAAATAAGATACCATTGAATTTGCCTGGTTAACCCAGAAGGGAAAATTTAATTTTGTGTGAATAAGTCATCCAGTGGGGAGAGACCGTAGGCCGAGAAACGGGGAGGGGGGAAGCTAGGTTAGCTCTGCAGGTAACTCAGCAGATAAAATTTCGATCCTAGTCGGAGAGTATCGATCCTCGCAGGTAATACCCTTCCGCCTTTTGTAGTTCACGGTGTGCGGGCATCAATTCTGCATTACGGTTTTTATGCTGGTACACCAGGCAGTGCTGGCCTGAGCTTCCTGCCTGGTGGGCTTGCATCATCCAAACTGGGGATTCCGTGGTGCTCCTCTGCCCAAACAACCTATCTGTAATATCAGCATGCAATCAGCAATTCCGTTTTAATTGATAATTATCGCTGGTAACAATGGTCTAACGTTGAGTGCATTTTTGCCAAGATGGTCGGATAAACTGTAAAGCAGCTGCTGCGCACGTTTTCAAGGGGGGGGGTATACCTCCACGCGGAAAGGAACAACGGGTCTTCCACGGCCACGCACGTGCGTCGGCTACGCAGAGGGCGCCCTATCAACGATCGATTTGCAATCCTTTGCGAGTTGGTCGTTGATTTTCGGATACTGAATTTGTTGTCTCCCCAATTGAAGAATTAAATAAATCTATCTCAACATTCGTACGACCCGCAAGGACCGGGGCGGATCAATCGTCTTCAAAAATGGGGGCACCTTAAATGGTTTTGGCCCCAGGAATAATGCTAAATGAGAACAGAGGACAAGTGAAGGAAAAGTTATGGTATATCCCAACAAAACAAGCGAAAATGAGAGGGGGGAAGGAATAAATGGATGCACCGTCCCCTCGCTATTGAACCTGCCCACTGAAAAGATCAACTTTTAGGGACAACATAGTCTAGGCTGACGGGGAAAAGCTAGAATGACAAGTCTGTGTAATTTCACCAAACCGGTTTTGTTTTTGTTTGAATGTTTTCTTTTTCTTATTTTTACTTCGAATAAAAGGGCAATCTTCAGACCTAGAAGGCCAGGTGCAATTAGTCGCACCGTCCAGAATATCTAGACAAAAGACAGGTGTCAGGGTTAGAAGAGTTCAATTAGCATAATCAGAAATGACTGTTTTATTGCTAATGCCTTGTGCACTGAAAATGAGCTCCGGTCTACAAATACAAGTATCAATACAAACATCAGTTCTACTAAAAGGTTTCGTAATACCAAATCCTATGTAAGTAGGTTATTATTTTATCCTCGCCACGGCAACAGGAGGGCAGGCTCAGGCTGCTTAAGTGTAATGGACACTTAAAATACTGAGTGCAACTGAATTCACTTAAGTTTATCCAATCATATTGTTTGAGTGTAGCCCAGTAGCCATCCGTATGCTGGGGTGGGGCCAAATTTGAGCTTTTTTTCCTCTGTCCAATTTTAATTTTCACCCCTAACCCCAGGGGCGTACGTGACCGGGGATGTGGGGTGCGGTACCCCCCCCCCAACAATTATCAAGTCGGCAAATATTGCTCCAGTCGGCATATGAATCGAAAATTGGTACATAAATGATATATGTTGTCCGTCGGCGTTTCCTCCGTCGACAGAAATGTAGTGTACTACAGTTTTCATTTTCTGCACTTTGTTTTTATTTACATGATGCGAACAATTAAGTTACAAGTCGGCAAATTAACTCTGGTACACCCCCCAAAAAAAACTTCCTCGCTTCACCCCAGCTTAACCCACTCTCTGAAAAAGGAAATTATAAAAGCGATGGCACTTTTTTTAAGTGCTTGCATTGTCCATTCCCGAAAACGGCAACATTTATTCAGGCGGGGTAAACGTGTCTGTCAGCCTGTTTGTACCCTGCAGCTTCGCACGTGAGACGAACAAACCCGCAGTTGTGCTGTTCATAAGGTCGTCGATCTTTGAATTTTAAATGCTTCAAGTATATCTGCACCAGAAAGATCCGAATAGCATACGGTTGGCCGAATGATCCGGCATACACGCGTCGCCACATAACTAGCCGCCTTGCGTGTAGATTCCTTCCTCGACGCAGGTCCCATTTTAACAGTCAAAATGGAGCAATCAGAACTGCCGTAAGTATAAATAAACCTAACTGTTCATAGTAGTACCTTTTCTGTTTACATTAGTCGCGAAACGGATGATTTCCACCTTGTTGAAAATCGGCAATGGCGGCATGATTGGCACAGGCATAACGTCGTTACAGTTACACGTAACGTTAGACTCGGCTACATCGACATGATCGACATTGTTGTAGTCAGTCCAAGTGAAATAGGCTAACTCATTAACTGGCCATGCCGGCATGACGGGCGTATTCGAAACCCTGTTTTCATCCTGGAACTCACGAACAGTGTTCTCGGGTTTTTGATTACGAACGCCGAAGTGCAAATGGAGTGCAGCTAAAAATTAGGGCTTAGGCCTATGCCTTTTTCAAGTATTTGCCATTTTAGCACAATTTCCTGTAAAATACGTTGTCCGCCGACGTATTTTAATTTCAACACAGCATTTGGAATTCGGGATACAAGGCACTTGTGAAGGACATTTGAGCTGTCTTCGCCAGGTAAACATGTGAGAAAAAAACGTTGAAAAACATTTTGCATTGTAGGGGGACTTTTACCCTGGACGTCAGTCGTAGTGTAAATGAAGACAACGTCTAACCTGGGCATGCTGGGCTAGGGCCTAGGCCTAAATAAATAAAAGGATCAAAGATGTCCATATTCATGATCTTACCATAAATCAAATCCTGAAATATCCATTGATATAAAATGGTCACGGTGAATTCTGTCCTGCAGCCATGTATATTTAGTAAATTTATTAGCCTTTAGTTATATTTTCCATATTGTGAGTGTTTTCTATTTTATGCAACAAAATTAACATTACATATAAGTTGCGGTAGGCCTACGTGCCTTTATCCGTCGTCTTTGTTCTTGACGTTTTCCATCCACTCCCTAGCAAGTGAGGAGTGAGAATCCTGTTCGCGCACAATGCTTTTGTGTTGATTCTCGTCATTCGAAACCCCGTTTTCAAGCCCACCCAACACAAGAATGAGGTTTGGAATACGCCCGATGAGTATGAATTGCTTTTTTAACATTTGGACATGGTCGCTTGACACATGTTTAAGAAGGCAATTCGTAGAGCCCAAGTTACTCGGACTAGATACATTGTAAGTCTCACAACTAAGAGAAATCTGCACGACCTATGTGTACATTTGATGAATCAGGCCACACGATTTGCATCTAGGCCTGGGCCAACTGGAGTATTTCAAAATTAGCAGATAAGGGGGTTCTTTATTTACTTTGTGACTTAATTCAATTTTCGAGTTCACTGCTTTGAGAAAAATTGAAAAAAAGGTAATCGTTTTGAACACTCAAAGTGCAAACTCGTGTGATTTGTCTTTCAAAAATGCATGGGCCACAGGATGCTCCAGAATGCTTAGATAATGCACAGGCGAGGTTTATTTGCAGATCAGTGGTAGCTGTCCAACAGTGCATTTTTTCTTGGGCTTTGAGCACTGTGAGTGGTCGGCAAGGTTACCTTCAAGTTTAAGTATCTCCGACAACGGTGTGACGCTGAGAATTTATCGAATAAACAACACTTTGTCGTGCAGTGAAGTGACTGCAGTCACTGCACGATCGTTCACACAGTCATGGTTCATCGCATGTACATGTACGTTGGTTAAAAACCTTTCACATAAAGTGTTCATGTTCACTGCCACTTAGTCAACCCAAGCTTAAGCCTTTGGAATGGTTGGAGGGTGCTATCATCAGCCCATGTGCATGATCAGTCCATCATCGTGTTGCCTATTTGTTCCTGCATTAGGATGTGTATTACCACTCCTCCTACCATCAGCTCATCACCTTTTCTTCCCAACTCGCAGTTGTGGAAGATTGTTTTGAAAAGGAGAAGTAACGTTAAATGCCCATGCAGGGCCCAAGATTACCTGCACAAGCTCAGCCAGTCTTGCTAATGAACAACCACGTCCAACATCTTCAGGCGGAAACTTTACAAAATGCGGACTAGAGATACTTATTTTCACCATGTCTACATGCATTTCAATAGCATTTCGAAAAAAAAGTGTGGGATTTCATTAAGGCCTGCAGATGTTATTTTGTTAATTGATTAATGTATTTATCAAGCATCAAGACAGTCAGCTTTTTTCTCTGTTGTTGATTACACCGCACATGAAAATTTAAAGGAAATAACAAGCAACAAAGTCATTCATAATGAGAAAGGAATTGAATGCTGACATGTAATATTTACTAGTTATGACACACATGTATTTACAGACTTTTTTCAACTCTATTCTCAGGAACATTTACGTTGGAGGGCTGAATTTTGAGACAAATAAAGGTAAGTACATGTAAACCGTAACCAGACTTGCAAGCAGTTATACGCGCCTGTGAGAACACCGTGTGAACCTACATGTGCCCTAAGCTGTCCGGCGTAAATGGTCTCCGCTGATAACTATCACATAGATGTATTTGCACCAGACCTACCAGACTGCTACATGTTCAGGTGTCTAGAGTGATATTTGTCAGGAGGTTTTTTTCTAATTTCTGGAGTTTTCATTTGATTCTTTTGAAAATCTGGAAAATCTTGAGTTGACCATTCAGGTCTTTCTATGAATAAAATTTGATTTGGAACGCAGGTTTATACTACAGCTGAGGGGCCCTCAAAGCCTCAGGTGATTATTGCATACGTGGATGTTTCACGCTTGTCCAACCTCACCCTTGATGTACATGTAATATACACGTATGTACATGCATGCTGACGCTGTCGTGAAACACTAAATATCATGTGAGCAAATTTGCTAAATTCAAAAAGTCTGGTGTCTCAGATCCCCCCCCCCAAAAGTAGCACAGTTTCAAGGCATCTGTACCATACTTCAATCAGCAACGCTTCCTGGCAAATTCTGCCAAATTCTGATCCTTTTCCAAAGTGGCTTTTGGTCCACATTGAAATTCACTGCTATGGTACACGTGGGTCTTGAAATATGATTTAGACTTCTTAAAATATGTATGACTTTGAGAGTTGTAAGGGTAATACTCACTGTCGTGAGTGTTCTCGCTGGTATACATGCAGCATCCATTCAGGATTCATTTCATGCAAGCCAGAAACTTGCATAGACATATATGAGTTTTCAGATTTGCTGACATGATACAGTGTTTGAGGACAATATGGCTCATGCATGTGTACATGGATGGCCTACTGTTGTGAATAGCAACAGTGTTAGAAGATGCCTGAAAGTGGCGACCATCAACAGCAAACGCTGTCGGGCTAATACACATGGAAAAGTGCCACTTCTTTGAGTTGTTTTGATTGGAAAAGACCTCACCGAGTGAACAATTCATTTGATTTGAATTGTTGCCTTGAAAACTGCAAGCCTTCATCGGTTCTTAAAACTAAAAATGGAGCAGAAAATGTGGACGTGTGCAATGTTATGGGTGCACTGCCGTACATGTATATAGATTTTGAGGAATAATACCTTTTAACCTTCTGGTTTTACCAACCGGTTTTCCTGAAGAGCACTTTTTTTATGTTTGGGGAAAGAAATGCACAGGTTGGCCCCACCACAGTGTTTGAAGTGAACTTGTCAAAATTGAAAAATACGGACCTGATGAATCGCTAGATAGTATGCATGGTTTTAGCGTGAGGCTAAGAACTTTGAATGATTGTAAAAACAAAAGTGTATTTTGGATTGACTTGAATCTTGTCAGTCATGTTGCTGCTGAACGTCTTACATGCCTGTCAAGTTTCAAAAAGATTACAAATGTAGGCCGGGGGATTTCCCACTCCCTTCGCTGTTTATAGACTCTATGAAAAATCCCTGCTCTTTTAGGGTTAAGTACTGCCTGTACTTACATGACTTCCCCCGGGGGTGAGATTTCTCAGCTTTTTAGCTGATTTCGGCCTTTTTGGTTTCAGATTTCAGCTTTTTTTCCTCACTGGCTTGTTTACAAAAGTATGGGAGATTTTTCCCAGTTCAGCTTCTTGATGCCTTTTTCAGCTGTTTGCAGCTGTTTTCATCGTTGGTCAGTCTCACCCCTGCTTGCCAGTGCAGGATGGTGAAGAACATTCTCACTTGGCTACTACATGTAGGGCCTGCATGCACATGTATGCACTGTACGTTATGCACCACTGCCACACGGCATAGTCACCAATGTGAAATGTCACATGTACTTAATGCATTATGCTTGTGCCCAGCATATTTTTCTTTTTGGTATAACTCATTCGTTCTCATGCAACCATCCATTGCCAGTGTAGAACGGTTTGCGTAAACTATACATGTACCGGTAACTGGCCCAAGTGCCTTGCCCCAATTTTTTTGAAATTCTCCCCCCCCCTCCCCCAGTGTAAAGTTGAAGTTTCCGTGTGTCATTTCCATCAACAGAGACGCTGGAGAACCACTTCTCCCAGTTTGGCAAAGTCAAGTCGGCAGTGATCATCAAAGACATGGGCTCAGGCAGGAGTAAAGGCTACGGCTTTGTCAACTACTTCACTGTGCAGGACAGGAACAACGCCCTGGCAGTGCCATGCCATGAACTGGATGGGCGCGCGGTACGATTCCTCTCTAAATTCTTCCCTGTTGTGGTAATTTTCGTTACATGCGTACGCCTCAGGGGTATTGTTTTTTTCTTGTTCTGTGTCGGCTTATTTCCGCCCACATTAATTAACGCCTGCGCGCCGGTAATTCTTTTGACCGTGACTGCTGGGCTGTGGTATGCCCTGAATGGAGGGCTTTGTCCATCAGCAGGCCCCATTCAACCAGCAGCTGCATGGTGAATAGACTGTATCTGTGATATTGCAACGTAGGGGTGTCCGCATTCCCAACTACTGACCGTTTTTTTCAAACAAGATACCACAAGTACAGTCCTTCACAAAGTTTGGCGTCCGACTGACCCTTCATGGTCATTTGCACAAAATTTTTCTACCGTATCGCCACTGTTTGAAATCGCCGCGACAACGTCGCAGAGTTAATCTCCTCCAGCAGCTGGCCCACGGCCCGCAGCCACCGGAGGGGTCCACACAACCTCCACAGATCAGCTTGAGCCTCTGTAGAGACAAAGTCTACGGGAATCACTCAAGCGTGAAACGAGCCCAGGATTGCAGAATTTTCTTGCGCCTGTTTGTCAGGTGTTGCTTTAGTGGTAGACTCCCACATCCAAATGATTTTCAGGCTACCCCGACAACATCCAGGGCTTTTCCCAGAGCCTGGGAAACGGAATCCGCCACACCCCCTGGATATTTGTCTCTGATATGGCCCTCTCATTTTTTTTTCATGTCAATCTTTCAGAGTTTTTTTTCCCCAAGTGTCCTTTCCCGTCGACATGCTTACTGGCCACTGAGTGAGGCCACAAACTTCAGATCAGGCATGGGTTTATTGCTTTCTTGAGATTGTCTGAAAAAGCTGGTCTCTTTTAGGGTCAACGGGTGTCTGTGAAAGAGCAGTGTGACAGCAATGACCTGGATGCCCAAGCTAAAACTTTTTTGCACTTTAGGCATGGCTTTACAATAAAAGTACACCTCCATGTAAGTTGTCCTTCGGGTCAAAAGAAGGAAATTAACCTCTGTAACTTCCATTCACATTTGGCTAATTTCTTCTCTTTTTTCAAAATTTCCCCATTTGCAGTTGACTTGTTCCGTCGCCAAAGAAAGCAACAAGACCAGAGCGGCTGGATTTGGCGGCAACTTTGGCGGGATGGGCAGCGGTATGGGCGGCATGGGAGGGAGCATGGGCGGCACTATGGGAGGGGGAGGGGGAATGTACGGAGGGGGTAGCTCCTTCAACAAAGGGGATGACGACAGGAAGGTTTTTGTGGGAGGCCTACACACTGACACAGAGCCAGAGGACATTGAAGCAACCTTGGGAAGCTTTGGAAAGGTTGGTTTGTCGTTAACCACTTGCCAACACTATCATTCTGTTACGAACTTGTCCCAGGTGGGGTGTTATTTTCGGCCCAAAGTACTGACTTTTTCAAACAACAACAGCATCTTACAAAGTTGGACATAACAGATGCTGACCCTTGGCAGTCATTAATTCAAAATGTGTTGGGACATTTTTGGCCCTGTCATTTTTTCTTTTGAAACTCCAAGACAGTGTTGCAGAGTGACGTTGCTACAAGGGCCCAGCCATGACCCATGGCCAGTAGAGGGCCCCGTACACTCCAATCCCCACCGACCTGTTCAAGCCTCTGTATGAATTAACAAACCCTCTGGAAACACTCAGGCATGCGGGCGAGTCTAGATACAGAATTCTCCCGAACGTATTTGTTAAGCGTCCTCTGTGTTTTGGTCACAGAAAGTCCCAACGTGCTAATAGATGCATTAGCAGCAGACAAACAGTATACAAGTAATGAATATTTATGATTCTCCTCCTGGATTAGACCGTGGCCCCTCATGTGATTATTTTCACCGTTGCACGAACATGAAGCATTGGTTATTTGTCGCATACAACATCTTTGTAAATCCTCAGCATCAGCTGCTTTGACAAGCTCGTCAATTTCTCCGTCAGGTAAAATCGCTAAGGTTGGATCTAAGTCAGTCATGTTTGCTGTGAATATTTTGCACCACAGCGCCACCACACAGAAGCTGCAGTGCAGTTGATCTGGAGATGTTCGTTATCCATTTCTAACGCACAGTTATACATTTTTTACACGTTGCGCGTGCGTTGTGCACCAGCTCTGTGTTGGTAAAATAGTTCAGTGCCATGCAATCAACGATCCACCAATCAGATGACGGGGATTTATACAGGTGTTGTACAATACATTTTAACAACTACTGATATGTTCAACAGCACTCAAATTTCCAGCCTTCAGAGATCCAGCCTTGTTAGCTAGCAAATTACAAACAGTGGCCAGAGTTTCATCGAAAGGCATCTTTTTGCAGCCAGCTTCAGTGCGGTGCTTAATGCAACACTTTTTAGCAAGTTGCCCAAGACCATGGTCAAAGTTTGTACTTGTACATTTGCTATAACATCTGGGACCCTGAGCCTTTCACGATTCATGTGAAGAGTGAATTGTTGGCAATTGCGGAGTGACAGAAGTGGGTGTGAGTTTCTCACCTTGTTTTGGTTCAACTTGTCCTCAGGTCATTAACACAAACATCAAGAAGGATAGAGACACCGGTCGCTCACGAGGTATGGAATCCAAATGAAATCAACATCTGTCTAAATGAAAAATTCTACACACAATCCAATAATATAGGCTCGGATAAAGAGGGGGAAAAATGGGCAAAGTAGGATCACAGAATGGGTCTTGAGTATATCTTATTCCTGTGTTTTTGACATGTGTAGGAGTATGTCTAACTCCCCATTTTGATGTGCCACCCTATTCATTATACTGACGCGTGTAGACAATATTCTGATTTCCACATCTGTGGAAGTTGTGCTTGAAGGCCCGTACTTCAGAATAGCTTTTTGTGTCTCGGTTTGTTGGGTTGTGTAGCAATTTTGCACTTCTTATGGTTGAGTGCTAAACGAGGGGGGCCCAGCCGGTCTCTGTGACATATTCTCTACCACTGTGTCCTGACGATATCGCGCAGAATGTCTCTATCAACACGCGATCAGTACAGCCTGGTAACACCTGACGATGCTGCTGTGGGGCTCGCTTTCTAGAATGAGAGTCTTCATATCTTCAGAATTACCGTTCTAGGCTGTTGCGTGAACATCGGCAGATAAGATTTTCTGACCGTGTAATTTTTTTTCCTTTGAATACAGGTTTCGCCTTTGTTACATTTGACTCGGCAGTGAGCGCGAAGAAGGCCATGGATGCTCATTTTGTCGAGATTCGTGACAAACAGGTGAGAGGCCCTTTTCTTCTATAGACAATGGGCATTAATAGGTTTAAAAAAATAGGTTCTGCCTCCGATTACATGCCTGCCAAAAAAAGGGTTGGTATGTCGGAAATTTGTTTTTTGGTCAAGAATTATGGACAATTGAGACAGTGCTAGTCAGGTAATCACAAAGGCAGACTGGCCAACGATGTCCGTGTATCATGAGGTAAACATGCGTGATACATCCAGACGGGTGGGTGATAAACCTTGTGCCGCAGCTGGAAATTTTATGGAAACACGCTCCCTTCAAGTACGAGCAAACAACCTCAAATTAAACTTGTGAACACAGAAGATACATGCATAGATGACTCAAGCTCACGTTCCTAGTCCATGCATTGACGACGGTTTGAAAGGGCCACGTTTTTTTTTTTTTCGTGGGATTTCTGAAGTGGTCCCTGTGGCCTTGTCAACATCCCATGCGTACATGAGGTCCAGTGGTTTTCAACTTTGCGATTGCTCACTTTGAATCACTAGGTGGAAGTCAAGTCCGTCAACCCCAACGCCGGCAACCAGTCCCAGAACTTTGGAAGTTATAATAACGGAGGCATGTTTGGCCAAGGTGAGAGTCGTGCAAAATGATTCAGGAACAATTTGAGAACTTCAACCCAACTTTAACTCGGCTTGTAGTACATTGTTACGAATTATTGTTGATGGGAGAATATCTCTTGATATTTGCGGCACTTGTGGGGTAAGTCAGGGAAGGGAATGTTGAAACAAACTGTCTGCTGACAAAAATATGGCCAAAGTTGAGGGATGACGAAGATGTATAAAAGTCACGCTGATGCATGAGTTGAGAAGTTCATGGAATGGAGATCTTAATACGTTTTACGGGGGGGTTGTCTGTTCAAATTGGGAGTCCAGAATTTCCTCGTCGGGAATATCATCGGGAAGCTTGGCTGATTGACGGGCTATCTGTGATGGACTGAGACAATGACAGTTGTTGTGCCATGTTTCATTGTATGTGTGTGATTATTTTCCTGTCTGCAAGAAGGTGGCTTCAACAGCATGCAACAGTATGGGTACAACCAGGGCTACGACAGCGGCTCCAACTGGCAGAACCCAGGCAACGTGTGGCAAGGCAGCGGCGACTCATCCTGGAACAGCAGCTACAACAGCGCCGGCTACGGCAGCGGGGGCTCGGGCTCCTACGGCAGCGCCAGTGGCGGAGGCTACGGGAGCGCGGGCTCCTATGGCAGCCAGCAGCAGCAGATGCAGGGGCAGGGCGGGGGCTACGGCGGGCAAGGCGGCTACGGCAACTACGGTGGCCAGTCTAACATGGGCCAGAGCGACGGTGCCAGCTGGTACTAAGAACGAGCTGCCGGCTGCCAAGTACATGGTATTCGACCAGGTGTAGGCAAGTTGACTGAGTAGGGAGGGAGGGAGGGAGGGGAATATATCGGTGTACAGCCGCCGGGGAGAAATAAACAAGTTGAATGTATGGCGAAGATACTGATTTGTTGGGAAGCGGAAGCATTGTATACTCATGAAGTAGTTACAAGGGGTTTGGGTAGGGAAACGGGGGAAATTGTAGACATAGAATGGTAGTATAAAATTCTTTAGAATGTAGCGAGTGAAACTGTTTATTATGGGCCGTTGCGTGGAACAGTCTGGTGACAGTGAACGGAGGAATTGGGAGGTGGCAGAGGCACAGGAATAGGTCTGGGCACCAGACTGATATTTGATTTGGCGATAACGCATCTGTCGCCATTTTTTGTGTTTTTTAGTTTTGTTTTATGGTTGTTTTGGTCAAAACTGTTCCCAGACTGTTTCACCGAGTGTACAAAGTTTTCTGATTTAGCTCTATAGCAGAAACCATCACAGTGTCCAGGGGAGTCCAGGGAACTCTGTCAGTGCTGGTAACCGTTTGCAATAAAAAAATACTCCATCTACACTGGAAGTTGCTCGCGGTGTGAGTGACGCTTCAGCGTGGTACGGGAACACCACATTTCTTTGCAATACCATACTTGCCACTCAATTCTCTCTCTGCCCATGTCTGAACCTCGACGGGTGTGCCAATTTTCCCTTTTGCTAGAGTTACTGTCATGCCTTTGGCACAGTTCCGGGTCACGAGGCTTGCATGGGGTGTATCAACACTGCAAAGGCTGACTGATGTGGGGACTGTCGCATGTAACATGCATGCAGAGTCTGAATTGCTTAAGAGATATGGAATAGGATATTTGAAGAACAGAGGTCGTAATCCTGCACGAGACGGTTTTCAACAGTTTAAACCGTGTAACATTTGAAGTCATGCCTCAGTGGTCAGTGTCCGTACGACGCCACAAAATGGGCCGCACCGAGTGCACACAGGAATGCAGTCCATTTTCCAAGCCAACCGGCATCTCCCAGCTTCCGTCTTCATATACCAGTGGTGGTTTCTGCCGACTCTTTTTTTCTTTCTGAGTTGTAGCCTTTTGTTTTCCTGTTATCTCTGTCCCTGTTCATAGGCGTTTCTTCTGAGAATGTGTGATCAAAGCTTTTCCGTTCAGTTGCTGTAATCCCATTAGAGTTTTTTTTTTTTTTAATTTTTTTGGGTCGATTTCCCTCTTGTGTTCCTTATAAAAGATGGTGTAATCCTACGTAGCATCAGTCCCTTGCAGAATGGAGCCCCTCATTAATGCAGTCGCGTAATACGTTTCACGTTTTTCCAACAGTGCTTAGACATGTCTTCATCTGGCTTGTCTGCACATCACCGAGAGCAAATGTTTGAAGTTAATCTGATTTCAAAGATTCTTTGATTTTTCTTTTTTAATGTGTAATTCTACCTATCATTATATATGTTTTTTGGTAAAAGGCATTCTGGAATCTGATTGAGGTTTTATTGGGGTCAACATATATTGACGTAAAGTAATCAGTTTGGGTTTTTTTTGGCTGTTGTTTGTGGGTCAAATGTTCATGCTGTTTTTAGTTCAGGACGCAATTGCCTATTTATTCTGATTATTTGCTTAGAACAAAAGAACACACTCATGTTAATTGTTGTTGCTCTTTCAAAGATATTCTCAGCCTTGTCGACCCAGAAATGTTGTAAGTTCTGCTGGAAGGTTGAATTTTTTTTCTAACTGATCGTAAAGGTTTTCAATTCAAATTAAGAAAACAGAATGGAAGAGCACAGTTGTAAATAAAGTAATTAAATTGTGTTTGTTTTCATTCGTGATAGGTATCCTGTTATCATTTGATTTCATTGATTCTTGTTATAGTTTTCAGTCGCCTCGAACAATTTATTCAGTGGACATAGGGAACTAAAAACAATTTGAGAAAAGAAAAGAATTATTTTTTATCAATTAAAATGCCACTTTCATTAACATGTACAGGTACGAGTATTTTAATAATTAACAGTAAGGCATGTAATCAATTATGTGTTGTTACAGAGAAAGTGCCTAATTATACTCAAGTGAGTCTTTGTCCTCTCCAAAATGCACTTGTACATTGATTAACACTTTCATTCAATAAGAGAGACTTGTAAATTGTTACCCTCGTGAAATCCAGTCCGCATCAAGAGACAGAAATCTTACTTAGTGCACCAGTGCACGACAGACACAAAGGGATTTTTTTTTTCTCACACGAGTATATGCAAGAGAGATGGTTCCAGAGCTTCATTGTTTGTGATTTTTTTAATGACGTTGAGATGTTCATCACGAAGGTTGAGCTTCATGTTTGGGTTCATCATTTTTGTGCCGGGCCAGTTCTAAATGATAGGCTTAGCTGTTAGCATATTTCTGTGAGCACAGATTGTACACTCGATCACTTGTGTCATGCACAGTACGTCCATTGTCAAAGCTTAATCACCGTGGGCACAAAGATGTTTGACAGGGTTTTCGGTGCAACAGAAACTTGAATTGTTGGACACAGAGCGTTTTCTCCTTCCCCCCCCTTTTTTTTACTTGTAAGTCACTCATAATTTTTTCCGATGTGATAATTCCTTCCACTGACACCACTTGTTCATGGTCTTTTTCAAAACACTCGTGCACTGGATGTTGGTAACACGTGAGCCTCTAATTTGCCTGTGGGTTTCAAGTTACTTGTATCTGTGGATTGTGCAACACTTTATTAAAAAGGCTTTATGCATACTAGTTACTGGTAACTAGTATTGCTACACGTCCGCAAATAAAATAATTTTCTGTAACCTACTTGTAGATATGGACTCTAAATTTACTGAGCTTGTGTGAACAGATTTTTTTTAAAGAAATGGTCTCAGGGCTTAAAGGAGATTTCACCATTGTTTCAGTCATTTATTGATTACTTAAGAAATCAGAGTAAAGTAGCACGGAATATGGGTTGATAAAAAAGAAATTTACCCACAGCAAGATTCTCCTGATATGCGTTCATCTGATAGAGCAAACTAAGAAGACAAGTAACTTAAAGCTTACACTCAGCTAGCCTGACACTTTGCAGAATGGTACGAAGCATTTGTGTAGTTTTTTCTTCAGGCAAGTGCCAGGCTGGGTTTTTTCCCAGTAAATTGGACATTTCTCCCAAACCACAGAATTGTAACCATCGTTTAGAGGGTAATATCTTGCACGGTTTACATGCCGGCAGTGTATCGGAAGGTCTCTTTTTTTTCCTATTTTCAAATACATTGAAGTCGAAGCCTTTTATGCATATAGTTAACTGTTATTCAAAGTAAACCATCTATTCCAGTAATGCCTCTTTTGTATGTTATCAGTGAATGAATGTGATTGTGGAAGCTGTTTTACCAGCTACAGGTATTTTATGCAGTTAGTGCCAATTTTTTTTTTTTTTTTTTGGTTGAATTAGTCATGGAATTTTCTCAGTGGAATTTGTTGTGCATACTTCTTTGGGAATGGGAGCTCACTTTTCAGAAGAGAAAACAGTTTGGCTTCAGTGTTGTTTCCATGGTAACATAGTTTGATTTTGCTTTTGTGCCATGTGCATGAAGGCAGTCGGCATTGTACCATTTCAGAGAACAGTTGAAGCTCAGTGTGGGTGTATTGTATTCCACAGGCCTGCCGATCATGATGCCCGGGAAGTCAACCGGGAATGGGTTTAACACGGAAACAATCCTGGGGCTGCAGTTCACATTTAAAGTGCTGTTTGGATGAACAAACCGAGGGTTTTAAGACACCACAATGAAATCTGTCCACATAGTACAATGTTGACTGAGTACAGCTAAATCTTTATGTATTGGATAGCAATTTTTTTTTGGTCTTAATTCAAAGTACCTAGTTCGTGTTGTATACTCTAAATGTAAATGCCCCACAGCAGTCAAACTGTTCACTCTGCAGATTTCTGGATTGTATTATTGGATTGCTTAAACCATTTGCTATGTTTTGATCTTGATATCGTGGACTCATTCACACAAAGTGGAAATCAGTTTGTACATGTTTAGAGTAAAGCGGAATTTTGGTTTTATCAGAATCCTTGGGTATACAACATTCACACTTTCAATTGCAACTTGTTACTAATTTACTATGGCAGGGTGTTGTGCATTTCTTGAGATTCTTTCATACTAGATATTTGGCACAGTTTTCAGAGAGCATTTCCTTTACAGTTCTTGTCATATGACATCCTGTCTATGTCAGTCAGTGGGTCGTCATGTACAGTTGCTGCACTGAGGAGTGATTCATTGTGTGCAGGAAGTGTTCGAACTGTTTGCCTGATTTGAAACTGTTTCATATGTCAAAACTATTCCATCCTTCACCTTGTGGTACGCATGTCAAAACTATCCCATCCGTGTTGCATGTCTGCACTATTCCATCTTGTCACCTTTGTGGTGGGTGTGTCAAAAGTATCCCATCCGTCACATTGTCATGGACATGTGAAAACTACCCCATCCGTCACTTTGTGGTAAGCTTGTCAAAACTATCCCCTCTGTCACTTTCTGATGGGCATGTCATAACCATCCCATCCGTCACTTTGTGGTATGTCAAAACCATCCTATCTGCCACTTTGCAGCAGTTATATCAGAATCATCCCCACAGCTAATTCAATGTACATCTCGCTGATTTTGAAATGCCACTCTGCGGTTGCTTTGGGTCACCTATGCCAGTAGGGTGAAACCTCTGCTTGCTCCTACTTCACCCATAATGGATTAAAAAATAGTCTGTGACCCTTCTAGATGACCTTAGACTCCCAACAAGGCGAGTTGTTACAAATTTATTGGCCAGATGGTGCTGGGGTGACATGAGTCATGTTAAATGTCAAAATCAGTAACAGCAATGAGCTTGGCTCGACTTTAATACATGTAATGGCATTTAATGAAAACGGAAAAAGGTTTAATATTGTTTCATGTAATGTCATTTTTATGCATATTTTTGTCGATTTAAGAGTTTACTAAAATAAAAAGTATTTGGTATTACGCGAGAATGTGACATGAAAGACATGTGGATGTTGTAGTTGTATGTGTGTGTGTGAGAGAGATGCGTGAGGATGTGTGTTGACTAGCAACTGAGGCATGAGGGATGGATTTCATGAAAACTAACAAGTTTTATAAGGTTATATTTGAAAGCGTAATGAAAACTATAACATGTACAGCGGACTTCACATCTGCGCCCCCCCAGTTTACAGTTTTAATGTTACATTAAGTAATGTTTATTCAAATGTATAGCAATTTAAGAACATATTTTTGTTTTCATTGAGAAAAGAAGTCTTCCTGTGTAATTTTGTGATACCTCAAAGTGAGGGGGGACTTGTTGTCTTAAGAGGTTTTTCCTGGGCGCGGATGTGAAGTCCAACAACTTTTATTTTGGTTCACTTATGAGAGAGAAGGGGGAAGATGAAATTTACCGAGTTGCATATGATGTCAAATTGACATGAACTATTGAATTTTGCCGTTTATTATTAGTTTAATATCATGATTCCAGTTACATGTAATAAGCAGAGGAGCAGAAACCTTTCACTTTGCCCTTTTATATTGTCAATTCTCAGTTACAAATGCCAAAAAGAGGAGAGAATTTGCAGCTTTCCTGACTCAGACAGGGGAAGTAGGGTTTGACAAGAGTTGTTCATGGTTTAATAGAGATGTCCTTTTTTCCCTAGAATGTCTTATTTTCTATAATGTTCCAATTATTAATGCCTTTAGTGTTTGTTCAAGCTTGTAATAAATTGTCACACTTAGGTGATCTTTCTTCATTATTCTGCAGCTTGTGCGTCCTTTTCAAAGTTCATTCACCTTTTTTTCTTTAAATCTTGAAGCCATGCTGTGTTTTGTGCGCAGGCACGTGACTGACTTTTCAAGAGCCACAGTCGCATCGGAATGATACCAGTACGAGCATAAAGTTCTCGAGCCAGCAAGGGTATAGACCTCCATCATGGGGCAGCCATCTTGCTTTCTTACTGTTCAGAGCAATGCAACCAAAGTGAGGCTGGAAGGAAAAGTAGTCGTTTACCTTTTATCAATATGTATTGCAGTACTACTGCCAGCAAGTCTAAGGGGAACTAGATGAACATGGCACCATCATAATGAAGGTCTACACAGGTTGTAATTGCAGTCTAGCGGCGTCTACTCAATTCCCCATATTGCTTTAAATTTGTCCATCCAGTCCGTTTGCAATTTGACAAGCATGTACCGTATCGGACATTCATTATGAGCAAACCCCTGAATATTCTAGTTTAGTTCAACATACGGTTTGTTCTGGCCACGTGTTTCACAGCCTCACACATTTGCCTAGGTGCACGTAACACAAGTGCGCAAACCTTACATACCTAGTGTCAACTTGTGAATAACAGATGTCCACACGATGCAGAAAAAGAAGACATTCTGTGGACTTGCCAATATCCACAGGATGTTTCCCTGTCTCTGAGAAAGTTTAGAGGTGTGTTGGGGCTATCTGTCGCAAAAGATAGAGGAACTGTCGAAGAAACGTACGAAAAATCAAACTGTTCAAGCAGTTGAGACAAATCTGTGAAAAATATTCATTTTTCTTGAAGACAAAAGCATGTCCACACATGTATGTAACAAACATGTGGCTTAACAATTTTGGCAAACCTGTACTGAAAATGTGGGTATTTCACGTGACCACGTCTAAATTTTAAAAAAATTGGTGTCAGATTACAAGACATCACTACTTGAATTTTTTTTAGTGATGTATCACTATTTTGGTACATGCAAGCAGGTCATAGTGCACAAAATTTTCTCAAATGTCTTCAATGGGCAAATTTCGGGTTTACAATTTTATACAGAAAAACACCTCAAAATGAACAGTCTTCCCCTGACATCACACTAACGGGGCCCTCATTTGGCAGGAATTTTATAAGTCTGAAAATCTGCAATTTACCAAAGGTAAACTAAACAGGCGTGCCAAATCGCTTTAAGAGAGGTACAAAGTGGTGGACGAATGCATCTCTCAGCTATTTGTTGCATGGATGTTGCCCCCCAAAATTTCAATAACAGACAAGCAATCATGAACATAGAGCAAAGAAACAACTCCAAACCACATATTCCCATTACATTAACGCTTTATTCTGTAGGCGGCATTTGCAGGAATTTAGTGTTTCTTGTATTTTGCTTTCCTTTGTTAAAACCCTGGATAAAAACAGTCCCATAATTCACTCTACATGTCTAAGGACAATAAAAGTAAAAAAAAAAAAACAGCCAAACACAAACAAACAAACAACCACCAAATAAAAAGTTCATTGAAAAACTCTGGCGCAATCAACAACGTAAAAAATATGAGCACTTGACATTCATTCCATTTCTCAAACGTTGACAATGTTTGGAATTCCAGACTTGATACCTACATGTGCTGTGCATGAAGTATCCAATCCTTGCTCAAAGAATGGAACTGTTTTGATCTGATAAGAATGTGGTGAAGCAAAAGAACTTTTTTGCTCTAGGTGTTGCAAATCTGGTACATTCAGCAGGCTACAGATTTCGCTGTTGCTGTTGGAAACAAGGTGCGACAAAAGGTCTGGGCTTACAAGTGAACTTCCCACTTTCCCAGGGCACCACTTCAACTTGAACGGGGGCACCGCCAATCCACAAGTGTATTCAACGTCACTACATGTATTTACCATGGGGGGGGGCATAACACTAACCAGGAAAAAAACAATCCAATAAGACTGACTCAAAACTAGACGAACGCAAGGTGAAAACGAACACAAGGTGCAAAAGAAGCGTCGTTTTGACTACGCTACACTTGTGTGACTGGGAAACAGACTGCGTGTATGTATGGCATTATGATCTAAACATTCGTGTCGGCTACGGAAAAGGGTGAAATTCTAACTCGGGCTACTGACCAGCCAATATACAGCTTTGTGCCTAGAACAAAATCCTGGCTACACGTAGCAATACATATCTGTAACCATGCACAGCGAACACTAACAAAGCAGCTCTTAATGGCAATTTGTGTATTTTACATAACTGCTAATAAACCAATGGCACTGGATGAAACGTTCAGTAAAAAATTTGCAATCTTAAGTGGTTTTGCTCGAGGTTCAGAACCAAAAATGTCACTGCGATCCTGTAATGAAGAAGCATTTTTTAAAAAGTTTTCTCTTCAAATACAGAGCGGTTTTGGTGCGCAACCGATGATGTCTCAAAGCAAACAAGAGTTGAACATTATACAGGGAAGTGCACACAAGCACCCACATTGTATATCACCTGTTCAAAAATACCCCCAAAAAATTAACACGGTGCACCAAAAGCTGTCACCTATGTACTTTAGTATGAAATTTGGGGGGTTTTTTGGTCGCGATAGTGAACAGTAAAATTAGCCAACATCAAATGCAAAGAAGAAGGGAAATCAACCTGCTATAAGCGTAATCATCAGATAATGTACATGAGGTCAGAGGAGACACCACAATCCTTTGCTTGTGACATGAAGTTAAATTGTGTCCGAGATATTTCAATAAACACGGTGGCGTTGAGTGCAGCAAAATCTCGGGCCACACCAGCCCCCATCTCGTCAGGTTCAACTGACGCTCCCCATAACCAGTTGTGGCAGACAAGTGCAACGTTACGAGAGGCCACAGAGCCGAGTTTGATGGGGGTAAGAGAGAAGGGGTAAGTGGGTGGATGATTGTTTATCGCCTGTAGGGGTGAAAGGGCAAGGCGGCGTTGTTGCCCCCGCGGGCAAAGTTGCCCTGAGCGGCAGGCGCCGCAGCGTTGTACATGTCCTGTGAGGTGTCTTGCTGGGGCTGCTGGTAACCCTGTTGCTGGGGTTGCTGCTGGGGGGGTTGCTGCTGGGGCGGGGCAGTGAACGCCCCACTCATGTCGCCGCCATACCCACTGCCTGTAAGGAAAAACCAAGGGGTTAGCAAGCTTGAACAACTTCCCTTTCAAAGTATGTTTCGCTTTTCAGTCTAAACAAGTTTCAACCCTAAGAGAGTCTCGGGAAACAATTACAGTCAGTCTTCTCCATCTGAATAAAGATGGCACAGCAAGAGAAGGGAACAGAAGTCCAGGTTCAACACTTCATAATGCCATCACAAATTCACTGCCACTTGATGCAACAAAAGCACACACACCTCATCCGTGAACCTGTGCTAAACTGGGGTACCAGAATACTTTTTACTGGCAATCACTTTGGTCACTGTCTATGCAGCCCTAAGGCCTGCATGCAAACACTAGGTCCTGCACTTTGTGGTCTAGTATTCAGTCTGTTGTTTGCTTTACCTTGCGGTTGGTTGAAGTTGGGTTGGGGCTGGTTGTAGTTGACACGCTGAGGCCCATAGCCGGACGCCTCCTGGGGATAGTTGCCCATATTCCCTGCAGTGTGAGTTCAGTTATCAGTTAAGGCTTGTGCCTGAAAGCCACGGCTTTTTTAAATGTGGCTAAACATAATTTGATACATGTATAATTTATCACAATGTTAAAATTGGAATGAATATGCAGTGAACTGTTACTTCCTCGCTGGTATTTTTCTTTCATGTCCCCAAACTGAACAGTTAGCCTCACTCTCAATCCAGGATGGCCAACACATGAATACAGTCTATTCTCATAGACATGGAACGCAACTGCCACTTTGGCAAAAGGTAGAGAGGGTCCGTGGAAGGTGCATTAAACCCTCAAATACCTTCACGTGCATATAGGGTACCTTGCGCGGAGTGAAAACAGCTATGATTCGATGGTCTGCTACCGGTGTGCACCTGCTGGTGTCAAGGACGGGTTCCAGATAATCATATCGCAACATAATTGACAAAGTGCTCGGCAAATTTTCCTTGAAACAAAAAAGCGGTCCCAAAGGGAAATTTTACATTGATAAAGCAGGCTGGGTGGATAAATCCTGGAACAGATTTCGCCTTTTGCGTGTAAGAGATTGTTGATACGCATTTTGGATAAGACACAAGTATCATGTCTGTTTTCAACCAGTTTTCTTCGGATGGGATTTTGCTGGGGGGGGGGAGAGGGCCAGGGTAGGCATGTTTTATTTCAAAAGGCATCCGGTTCCTTTGCTACACAACAGTACATACAATCGGGGCTGTCTTTCTATACTAATTGAGGATAGGGTTCCTGCATCTGACAATTAAATTCCATGATCTTTACATGGCTTTTTTACGACCAAATCATGAAAATCCATGACTCAGTATTACCAGGATTTCCTGGACTATTCAGACTTTTAAAGTTGCGAATAAAATCACACGTATTATGCACTAATTTCTGATGATGGAAATCACACACAGCGTTCGAAAATTTCCATGATGTTTCCATAACTTCAGCCATTTTTACAAAATTCCATGACTTTTCCAGGCCTGGAAAACGAAAACAAACTTCCATGAGTTTTTCAGGCCGCGGGAACCCTGGAGGGGGTATTCACACGTACATGTACCTCTGACCTGCCCCAAACTTCTTATCTAGGACCAGGCTTGGTAGGTGCGTTCTGGACAGTACCGCCCAGCTGTTGAACACTTCACTTGACCCCGTATGACATGTAAACACACATATTTTTCCTTATTTGTTACACTCGTTTGAGAATTCTTTTTTTTTTCATTCCTGCGGTCGACGTATTCACGCAACGTGCTTAGTCGGGTCAAAGTGCAATTGCAACGTTGAAGAACTTGCAGGTAGAAAACTTGCCCCCGGTAGACAAGAAAATCCGACGTCAACTGGTTATCTACCGGTATATTTTTAGGTTCTGATGAAAATCTTCTCGCCAAAAATGCATTCTGGGGAGTTTGCAGGGAAAGCGCAGCACCGCTCTGTGGCTTCTCTAGGTGCACATAAAATGACACATCAGCCGAGTAAAAAATGAAGCGAGTCTAACCGTTCGGGGCATAGCCGCCTTGCGCCTGTCCCCCATAGTTACCAGTATTGTAACCCTGGTTGGTCTGGGGCGGGGCCTGGTTACTGTAGGCGTCGGGCTGCTGCTGCTGTTGCTGCTGTTGTTGAGGGCGAGGTGCCTGCTGGCCGTAGTTGCCGTAGTTGTAGCTCTGCGGCGGGCCTGGGCGGGGGGGGGGGGGGGGAATGTGAATAACCGAGGTGAATTGAAGGTAAAAATCTTAACAATGAGGTTGTGTTTAACTTCTTGACGTATGGGACAAGATGAAGGATGAGTGAACAATGAACAATGGCTAAAATGCTGCAAGTAAAAAGAAACGAGCCAAACTGTTAATGTATTCACACTGGGTGAAAACAAGAAAATGAACTTCTGAGGTCAAACAGCATTAACCCCAAAAAAGAGCCAGGGGAGGGCGACATCCGTCCTCACCCTCCGCCATTTTTCCAATATCGCCCAGGAGCTGAGCTTTTTAGGAGGCTTTAGAGACGCCAATTTTGTGAAAATAATCAAAGATAAGGTCCTCGCGCATTGCCCATGTTTCTGAGACAGGTCAGCCAAAAATGTAGGTACTCTTTTTCCAATGTGGTGCACGGTACACGAGGGATGGCCTGCTTGTAACCTTGAACTTCAAATGACTCTAACAAAAAAAACCATGTCTGACTGAGTTCAAACTTCACATTTGTAATAAGGAGCGTCTTCATACTTACATCAAGTTTCAAAGAAATCGAGCTTGGCTTTGCCACTTTCTGAAGGGGGAGGGGAAGGAATCCCCCTACTATAAGAGGGGCCACAGCAACCTGGCTCTTTGAGGGTTGAGATTGCAAAGGTGTAAGCAATGAAGACATTTTCAACACCTAGCGACAGTACAATGGCTGCTCTGTGATGTTACATTGACTTTCAATGACTGGCACCCTGAACTTGCCCGTAGTCTTAAAAGAAAGTTCACTGTAATGTGCATAAACACTGCAAAAAAACTAAGTGCTCTCTGGAACCAACAGGTAATAATTAACAAGAAAAAGAAAAGTCATCGACCTTATTATTAGACATCTGGGGCCCGTTTAATGGAGCAGAACTGTAGCATGTAATTTGTGGCAGGTGTAACCTTAGCCGTGTGCAGTGAACATGTCAATCACAGAGAATCTTGCTGGACTTTTAGACTAAGTATGTAAAGCTCCCAGCCTCGGCCCCTTAATGTTTGTACACGCCTAGTGATCTCTGTCGATGCATCACTCGTTCTCAAAAACACACCTGCGTTAGGCATGCAGCTTTCTCCTTCTTATGATTTCAACGTGTACGGTACTGCTACCAGAAGTTTCGTTGACCAAAAAAATCCTGTGCCCGGCAAGTTAGCCGTGCCATGAAATATTTGGCCAAGTGCAGACTCCATGCAGAACAAAAAACACAGGAACAGAAAGAGTGCATGAAACCAGTGCCCAACTACACAACGCGGCATGCCTCAACACCAAGGCCACAAAAAAACATTGGAATATTAATCAAAATAACACAAGTTTACAAAATAACAATTTGAGAAGTATTAAGGAATCCCGGAGAGAGAAACGCAATAGTGTATGAGAAATTTAGTCTATTATCTTGAACACTGGTGGTTTCATGCATGCAAACCAATACTTCATAAATTCTGGTGCCCTGCCTGTTCCAGGATTCCTGTTTCAAGCATGCAACTGAGAATTTCAGAAAAGGAGACAATTCATTTCCTCCAAATCGTTCTACTATACGGTGTTTTTTCAATTGGTAGAAACACACATGAGAAAAAGAACATTGAAAATCAGCCAAATCCGAGGAAAAGTTGCAGACCTGCTCGTTAAGGCAACTTGTTAGTTCTCTGTTTCCACGATCAAAGTGACATTTTTGCGACATTGCTCTGCAACTTGGGGGTTCCCAAACAGCTCAGGGATCAGGGAAACACATGTATGTTAGTACAATCTGATGCCAACTGCACAGCCACGTGGTGAACACTTCGACAAAGAGGAACTCGTCTACCTAGGGACTTGGTTAACCGTGGGGTCTTGGCATGGTGGCCGTCGCCCCCAGCACTGGGTCGTCCTGGGAATGCACAAAGGGGGAACACTCAAGGATCACTTGCATACAAGCCACACACATCAGGCATGCAACTTGGACTTTGAAAAAAAACAAAAACAAGGAAATTCCAATCTTTAACCCCTTCGCGCCGGGACACAGAAATTGAGATCCTCAGCCCGCTTTTAAGCTATTATTCTCCACCCACGCTCGAGCGAACACGGTGAAAGAAGGCAGACCCTGGCTCTTGTATATATGGTAATTGGCCTTTGTGTGTGGCCCAGAAATGAAAAGACCGGATTTGCATCATAATCACCAGCTTCACAATAGTCCCCACTTTGAAAAGAGGCAATGGGAATGTGGAAGCTTGAGTAGAGCCGCACACCACCCAACAATCAGCCTTTTCACCATGTAATTCAAAGCATGCAGAGCACGCAGGGCAACAAACCGAGAATTTACGGTTTGGCAGGTGGCCTTCATGGCCAAGCGAAGCTGGAATTCTTGGAGTCGGCTTTCGGGAAGAAATTCCCGGCGCGAAGGGGTTAAATACATGTATTTTGTACAATGTTTTCCGATTTCCAATGGCACAAGTTTTGAAGTGAAAAATGAGGAAATCAGCAAATCCGAGGAAAAGTTGCATGCCCGACACATGCAATGCACTCCAAATCATGCACGGGATTCCACACATACATGAAGCTGTTGTGAGGGTCAATACAGCCAGGCTACTAACTGCTAAGAAGACTGACGTTAACGTTTTTATGGGGCTGGTACAAGGCGAGGCAAGTTGTAAACTTGACTGAAATGTAACCAGATGCTGTCGAGTCAGTCTTCCAAACCTTATTTCGGTAATTTTGTTTCTGTTAGTGTAACAGGAAGAGCAGGTTGCGTTGTGTCGCACAGTCTGGTATCCCAGGGACAGTGGACACCGTGGGTGAAGATTTTGAGGCTTGACACTGACGTGCAAGATTTCAGAGGTCGTTAGTTCTTCTAAAGTGGCCCTAGCGACGTCCGCCTCATTTTCACAGAGTTGATCGCAATTTATTTGGTTGGGTCACAGGGTACCGAAGTGAATACGTCACGCGCACAATTAGTGTGTAAAAGGCATTAGCGGGAGAACCAGCGCTCGAACCAACACGCGCGCGTACTCCATTCGTTTGCACTGCACTTTCTGGTTGACACTGACGTCACACCTCGGCACTCGATATGAGTTGTGCACATGAAACTATCTACAGCACAGATGAGTTCCACAGGTGCCATGTATGTAATACTAGGCTGAGGGTAGCATACAAACATAACATGGCTTGAGGGCGGACAGTCCGGGTTAACTCCTGTAGATATTGGAAGCTGGCAAACGAGTTCCCGACGCAAAACCAGCATCGACTGTCCAACCCAAATAATCCATGTCGTATTTGATCTACCACACTTCAGTCGTCATTACAGTTTCTGGCACAATTTAGAGCACTGATCAACATGTACACGTACCACTATCTTTTTCTTATAAGCAGCTAGGGCCAGGCTTGCAAATGCCTACTTCACATGGGCAACAGCTCCACTGTAGCTTCATAAAAGTGCATGCATAATAATCTACACGTGTCTTTGTTTTGAGTGTGGAACCCTACATGCATGCACACCTAGTAAACAGCTGAACAAGAAACGGTGGACAGACAAGTGAGCACCCTGCTCTCCACTGTGAATATGTACGGCATATTCCATGTATGACACAACAACACGACAACACGACATGTATGATAAATGACATGTATGACATGACATGTATGACACACGACAACACAACATGTATGATAAATGACATGTATGACATGACATGTAAGACAGATGACACGTATGACGTAAGCATGACATGTACGACATACAACATGTACTGTATGACATATGACAACTGACCATGATACTGACCATAATTCCCTTGCTGCTGCGGCTGCTGTTGCTGGGGCGGCTGCTGCTGCTGCGGCGGAGGGGGTGCCTGCTGCTGTTGCGGCTGCTGCTGCTGGCCGTAGCCGTAGCCCCCTTGCTGCGGCGGGGCCCGCTGCTGGTTGTAGGCGGCGTTGCCGTTGTACTGGCCCCGGAAGCCTCCTTGGTTCGGCATCGGTCCACCCCGGGGCACAAAGCCGCCTTGCTGCTGTGGCTGCTGGGCATAGTTGCCTGGAAAACGGGAAAGTGGAAGCTTGAGTAGAGCTACATGCCACCGAACAAATCAGCCTTTTCACTGTGTAGTTCAAAGCGTGCAGAGCACGCAGGGCCACAAACCGAGAATCTGCGGTTTGGCAAGTGGCCTTCGTGGCCAAGCGAGGCTGGAATTCTTGGAGTCGGCTTTCGGGAAGAAATTCCCGTCGTCAAGGGGTTAACCTCGAAAGCCCTTCAAATTTTTATCCTTTCCATCCCCTGTGCTTCACTGGGGTAGGTCTGAATCTGTTCTCTGTAGATTAACCCTAACTCCCGAAGAGGATATACAAGCAACCTTCCACATCATTGTAAGTATCAACACCATATAGTAAACTGTACACATAAACATGGTATACCTAACCCGCATAAACACAGCCAGTATACCGGCACAGTACTCATCCTAACAGGTTCCAACAAACCCTGGTGTTGGATTTTGGCTGGTGTGAGATCGTTACGGTTAAGCTTTGCTGAGGACAAGCAAAGCCATGATGACTTTAGGTGTCAGTGTCCAAGGGAATGCGGCAATGTGTCTGACCCATTTCTGTACATAGCAGCAGGTGACGAGTCCTCTAATAATCCTCGCATCACAGTGGCTGCCGCCCGCTGCTTTGCCATTTTTAAAAACAACACCATACAGGTACCTCGGCTTCCTGTCACGACCAGGACACGACAAATGCTGAAGCTTGACAGTAATTTGTACTAAAGTAATTTGTACTAAAGTAATTTGTACTAAAGTAATTTGTACTAAAGTTTGGGTGACCTTTTTTTGTTTGGGTGTCTGCAGGTCGTTTGTCAGACTGGCCAAAAGCCACATGTTTTAACCCTCCTTTAGTTTTACAACACAAGTATGCGCAAGTGCCCAAGGTCACTCTCTTGCTTGTTGGTGCAGTGCACAACACGACACAGCTGTGCTTCTTTGAGGTGTTTACCACGTGACCCAAAGAGTGACTTCAGCATAGGAGGGTCAAGGCAGAATTACGCAAGAATCTGTGACAATGGGCAGAACCTGGGGGGAAGGGATTAAGAATGTTTTAAAAGGCAAGCTACTCACCCATTGGGGCCTGCTGCGGTTGTCCACCCCAGCCTCCTGGAAAAGTAAACGAGAGACAGGGCAGAAGAAACTCAGGAACATACTAGACTGTGTACTCTGTGCCTTCACATGTAGAGCGCATCGGCCTCGATGCCTCTGACCAGTTTTCATGTATGTTGGTGATCTAGACTATGCAAGTTTTGCAAACTCTGCTTGTTAACCCTAATAGCGTCAGGAGTTTTCAGACCATCTCACTACCTGGGGAGGGAGAACGCAGCTGTCCATTGCACAATCTTTTGAAAACCTCGCACGCATGCAACCACATTCACTATCAGCACTCGTACATCTGTGTAGTTTCAATAAGCCTTTTGCGAGTTACATTTGAATAAAATCTGGTACACCGAGTTCTTTAAATTCACATGAACATAACTTGAATTCTCCATACTAAAACCACTGTTGCTTTACCTCATGATTCAGGGCTAGCTTTTGCTTAGTTACATAAGAGATGCCTTGCAACAGTACGCTGTTCTCAATGGATAAGAACAGTACAAAGGAACCAGTCCATTCTGGTATCCCAATCTGGTATCAATAAGGCGGTTTAGGCAGCCTCTCGTCTGTATTCAGTGCAGCAAAACTTGTGGCTATCTGTGACATGCCACGTTCAAAGCTTTGTGGAACTATTTCTTTGAAAATGGCCTCATTTTTGACTAAAGCCAAGAAGGAACTCTTTTATTGACAATCATCTATCGCAAAGATCCAAATCCTCAACATAAGATGTGGAAGGACAATTTGATTCCAAGTTTGGAACAGGCCTTTGTAGCGACGACGCCACACTCTCTCTTCGCGTGTGTGCTTTCCTGTGGTACTCAGTGGGGCCGTGGACCCCGGACTGGTGCCATGGAAAAGTGCACATGTGGCCTCATCAGAACAGAGGCCTGCTGGTGCAACCAACACCAACCAGACAAGCTGTCTACTGGGCATCATGGACTCACCTGGGGCTGGGTAGTTGCCTCCCCCTTGGTTGAACTGGTTATTGCTGTAGCCCGGGTTGGGGTTCTGACCCCAGCCCTGGTTGAACCCTCCGCCCATGTTGGGGGGCCCACCTCCTGGGGGCCCACCCCGCTGCATCTGGTTGTAGTTGCCTCCAGCGCCCCCTGGGGCCCCACCCTGGCCACCACCCATCTCGTTACCACCCCGAGGCTCCGCCCTCTTGCACTCCACCTGTTGGGGGGGGAGATCAAGTGGGTGTTTCCATCAGTCACAGATCAATTTAACAGGGAACGTGAAGGAAAAAATGTGCAAAGTGTCTCTGCTTTGAAACAAACCAGACACTCTTTGAACACTTCATCCCTCGGACGTTTCACAAAAAAAACTAAAAAAAATAGACACAAAGTTGAATTTTTTTCATATCATTTCTGTAAAGCTGTCATTTTGGGAAAAATACTTTCTCAGAAGAAACTCTACATCGTCAAATTGTTTCCTTCGTGGTAGCAATTCAACAGTAAACAAAAAATCCAGATGACAAAAGAAACATACGCTTAGTGTGCAATTATTTATGAGAATTTTTCACAAATTCAGCAGTCCGGTGTTTTTTACCATGCTGCCCTGAAATTGCCTTGCACCTCACGTTCAACGGTACGCTCGACAGCAACTGCCCATCACTTGTTGAACAGGGGTTTACCCAGATTCGGACGGCATGCGTCAACAACAGAAATGCACGGCAAATTCAAGGCAAGAATCTTCAACTAGCACATACATTTTTTTGGTTTTAACTTCTTGTGCATGAACCAGCACACGTACAAAAATAAACCAAACTACTTGGAGCTCAGAGTACACTACAGAACCTTGTTTTCAGTTCTTATTTTAAAACTTACAGCAAGCTTACACATGACGGATGTTTAATACCTGAGTTCCTACACAATATGTATTCTACCAAATGACTTAAAAAAAAAAAGAAAAAAAGAACAGATCTAGCAATCAGGAGAACAAGCCATGCAGAGGGAAAGTATTTCAAACTAATTAAATTCTATCTACTTCTATTCTTATGGATTTAATTCATCAATTTACGCTTAGGTATACATGTGCATGAGTTACATCACTACATGTACATCCAATGCAAACCGGGCAATAATTAAACAATGTAGGAAAACTAGACGGCACCTCTTGAATTCAAGTCATGACTACTGGTTGATTATACGAGTAATGGTCTACGGTACATACCTTGTACATGTACTTTTTAAATTATGTACGTACAGTACTAGTGTCTGAAGTGCCGAAGAATGTTGGGATTAAACAAAAGTCTAGTTCAAGTTCCGTACCCCGATCTCAAACTGGCTCCAAGTAGCTTGATTTATTTTTTCTTACAGTTTACTAGAAATCAACCAATTCTGTCTTGTACACCAACTATTAAATCTCCAATCAAGTTTGAGTTTGTTTTTACTCAAGGAAAGTAAGACTGCACAATTCTTTTATTTCTTTTCCCTTGTCTATCTACTGTAAAACAATTTCTGACACAACAGAAAAGAGCAACACTCCTCAAACGACACACACAGTAGCACACATACTTGTTTTACATACTTGTGTGTGGACATTC